CTATGAGTGCACTCTGTGATAGACGTGGGTTCTAGATCCTCTTGCATGTTCGCAATATCAAGTGCTACTTTGTATGCAAAGAGTGCATTTAAGTCGACTTCTTTTCTGTTCCATTGGGTTCCAGACATGTTGTAATTGATAGAGATCTCATCGTTATCGATCTCGTCAGAACCTAGAGATTCGGCGTCCCGAACCTCTTCTGGTGGTTCATTAGAGTGAGTCTCAGCGCGCGCTATGTCTGTTATATTGGGAATCCCGGTTTCAACTATTGCACCTTTCTTTGATTTCTGTGGATTCTTGTCTTTGGAACCTAGAGGTCTGCCACGTTTATTTCGTGATGCAAACTTTGTAGCAACTTGAACTTGTCCCGTTGGAACAGTGATTCGTACTGGTGCATTACAAGCTGGTATGTACGATTTGGTTACTTTGTTCGGGTCAGCAAAGGAATCTGGCAATTGATTAGCTAGCTTTTGATAGTGTATAATCTTTTGGATCTCCGAATCACATTCTAGAGTCCGAGGATCTTGCCAATTTAAGGATGTTTGATTCCATGATAGCTCTTTGACCAGCTTGTGTTTCTCTCCACCCAATGTTGGATATACCGATTCATCAAATTGGCAATCCGCATATCTGGCCTTAAATAGGTCTCCAGTAGTCGGCTCGAGATATTTGATGATGGTGGGAGAATCAAAACCAACATATATTCCCATCCTCCTTTGAGGTCCCATTTTGGTTCTATGTGGTGGAGCAATGGGTACATAGACTGAGCACCCAAATATTTTGAGATGGGAGATGTCTGGCTCATGACCCTGTAATAATTTGGATGGGGAATATCTATGCTCACTAGATGGTCGGATGCGTATTAGTTCAGCAGCATGTAATACTGCATGTCCCCAAGCTGAGACCGGGAGTTTCGACCTCATGAGTAATGGTCGAGCAATCCATTGGATTCGTTTAATGAATGATTCAGCAAGTCCATTCTGAGTATGGACATGTGCCACAGGATGTTCAACGGTCACCCCCATGGCCATACAGTAATCATTAAACGCTTGGGAAGTGAATTCACCAGCATTGTCAAGATGTATAGTCTTTAGTGGAAAGTCTAGAAAGTGGGCTCGTAATCTGATGATTTGAGCCAATAACCTAGCAAAAGCTTGGTTCCGAGAAGACAATAGGCAGACATACGACCAACGGGTCGAAGCGTCTATGAGTACCATGAAGTACCGGAATGTCCCAGAAGGTGGGTGAATTGGACCACAGATGTCTCCTTGGATTCTTTCCAGAAAATGTAATGTCTCTTTGTCACTTTTACTGGTGAAGGCCGAGTGATCAACTTCCCTTGGGAGCAAGCTATGCACGTGAGGTGCTGAGGGAAGACTCGGTTTTCTCGAAGGGTGTGTCCTTGAGAATTTTGGATTAATTTACGCATCATGGTCATACCGGGATAACCAAGCCGGTCGTGCCAAATAGTGTAGTCTTGGAATCGGGTTGAGAGCATTATTAGCCTCAATCATACTGACCTTAGCATAGTAAAGACCAGTAGATAATGCGGGTATAGTCTTGAGGACTTGTTTATGGCCAAGTATGATCTTAGTGATCAGTAGGGATTCTTGTTCCCTTCACCCTGGGTTTCTATGTGGAAACCATTAAGTCTGATATCTTTAAAACTTAAAAGGTTTCTTTTTGAGCTGGGTGAGTATAATGCATCTGGAATGTCCAGATGTGTGCCGTTTGATAACAACACATGTTCAGATGATAGAATCAATCGAGGAGATCTGAGATCTCGTAGTCCATGGGATCGGTCGGCTCGATGGTGGTGTCGTTAGCATCAACTTGCAGGGCCATGTTGGCTTCAGCAGGTGCTTTCCCATGTTTCTGATAAAAATCGCAATGAAACTTGGGAATACAACAGTTCTTTGTCCAGTGATTGAACATTCCGCATCTGGTACAGGCAGACTGATTGGTTGGGTGGGCAGGGCGGTTTGGTTTAGAGATACCACGGCCCTTACCGGAACCATAACCGAGGTAATGTCGGTTGCCACGTCCATTTCCGCGTCCACGCTTTCCACGTCCACGATCTGAGGATCTGTCTCACTGGACATTGTAGGATTCTTTGCGGGAATCTGGTACTAGAGCCGATCCCGGGGGCCTCTGGGCACTGTTCCTCATAAATAGCTCGTTGTTTTTTTCTCGGCCAAGAGCAAACAAGATAACAATGTTTTGGGTATGGAAGGTGGATAATGTTTTCTCGAGGAGATCATTATCAGACACCTCTTCACCACATAGTTTCATGATTGAAACTATCCGAAAGAGTTCGGAGTTGTAGTCATCCACAGATTTGTAATCTTGGAACCGGAGTTCCTTCCAGTCAAACTTGGCTTGTGGCAAGAGCACCGTTTTCTGGTGATCATGCCATTTTTCAGGGCCACCCAAAGTTCGAGTCGGTTCTCAAGAGTGAGATATTGCTGTTTGAGGCTCGCAGCCAAATGATGGCGGATATGAAATATCGCCTGGGACCGGTCTTTATCAGATGCGGTGTTATCCGCTTTGATACACTCACCCAGTCCCTTTGAGTTGAGGAAAATCCTGGTGTCCATGCCCATTCGAGATAGTTTTCACCGGAGACCTTGAGGGCCTCGAACATGAAATTGATTTCATTAGGGGTTTGTTAAAATAATAGTTGGAAAACTTTCTATTTTAGGCAAGTTTCTATTTGAGCAAACTTTAGGGGTTCGTTAAAATAATAGTTGGAAAAAGTTTCTAATTTAGGAAACTTTCTAAATGAGGAAAGTTTTCATTCCGGGTCATTTGCTATTTGAGGAAAGTTTCTATTTTAGGAAACTTTCTCGGGAATCGTAAATTTTAAGGATACGGAACATAAGTTCGGTTTAATGGTTTAAAGTTGGACCGGAATATTAGATTCCGGTTTGGGCCGAATTGATTTCCCGTTTAGAATAACCAGTTTGAACCGGTTTACCCAGATTGAGATCCGGTTATTATTTTGGAACCGGTTTGATAATCGGTTTAACCGATAAATCGAATTGATATTCGGGTTTAGGAGTTAACCGAGAATGATTTCCGGTTTAGGGGATACACGAAAATTGCCGTTTTGGATTTGATTTGATTTAGGTTTTAAGATTTCGGCCATGGCTTAGTGTTTTCGATTTTGAGTGTTAGGTTTAAGTAATACAAGGTTTTTGATCTTTAAGCTTTTAAGGTTTTGTTTTTACCTTTCACCAATTGGGGTTGAACGGATTGAACCGGGAGCTTAAGACCTCGGTAACTCACGCTGTCGATGAACAGTACCGTTGAACAGTATCGATGAACAGTATCGATGAACAGTGTCGGCGTGAACAGTATCGGCGAACAGTGTCGATGAACAGTGTCAGCGTGAACAGTATCGGCGAACAGTGTCGATGAACAGTATCGGTGAACAGTGTCGGTGTGAACAGTGTTTTTCGATTTTTTAGGGTTAGAGTTGTTAAGAGCAAACTCGTGCTGATAACGTGTTGTGAAACTTATTGTTATCTCATTCCATTCCATGAATAATGATACATATATATAGGCATATAAACCTAGGGTTTTAGAGTACATAATGAATAACCCTGATGGGCTTATTGGGCCCGGTTATAAGTCCAATATGATGTATTATAACACGACCTAAATAGAAAATAAATGGATTTAAGAAAAGGAATCCAGGCTTCGCTTCTCAAGAACCTTATAACTCATTACTTGCAACGAATAATCCTAATTTATTCGAGAAATTTGTTAGAATTCTTTATAAAATCATTGAGTTTACGCTTTAGATCAATTTAAAAAAACGGGTTGCCGCATTATTACTACCTATACTATTTCCATTCTCTCGATTTCGACAATTAAAATGAAGTCGTTTGTTTTGGTGACAGAATTAAATTGCATCTAGGGTTCTTCATATTTGGAGAAAAATCGATAGACGAGTGAATTTGGGTGCTAGGGTTCTGGAAAATTTGGGGAAAACAGATTTTGAGTGATTTTCATATTTAGCAAACAACGTCGTTTTTAAGTTGGGTTTATCGAGTCAAAGAAAAAACAATCGGATCTGGTCAAACGCGAAACAGTAATCGCGATTTAACGGTTTAATCGGGTTTAAAATTGGGATTATCTTATTTCAATTGGAGGTGTAGACATTTGGACCAAAAAAAAGTTCATGCTGTTTTGTAAAGAATAAATATAGTTTATGTCTATTTATGAAGGGTCGAAAAGTAGAGGTTGGAATCGTGAGAATGGAAATAGTACAGGTCGTAATAATGCGGCAACCCAAAAAAAACTACTTTCTTTAGTTTTGCCTTTACATTTTAATCTCATTTTTATCTGTGCGGAATCCACTCGCATATATATGAATGTTTCATAAATAATAAAAACGTTATATAAGAAAAGTCTATTGCATGTTACATTAAAAAAATGTTATATCAAAATTTGTCGTCCATCTTAAAGTTTTGGGAAAATCAGTATTACAGTATTTACAACAATACAAACGTAACCTATTGAAATTTGAATTCAACGAGAGATAAATAAAAACAGGAAATGAGAAATAAGAAATGGGAAAATTCATTGCATTCTAGAAATATTTTATGCATAGAAATCAACAAAATTGAATCCTAATTATTTCAATAAAAAGATAGGTTTCTTGAACCTTACGTTTCCATTTTTAAAGCCTCGTTTGCATTTATGAAATCTCTGTATTCAACTTTCAACAACCTAAAACAATCCCAACACATGTAAATAAAAAAATTCAATAGATGTGACTCAATCCCTGATCTCATTCATGAAAACGAATCCTCTGTAATAGTGTAATATACGTTGTAATTCCCATAAGCAAATTCAATATAAACCTACATTTTGACAAAAAAAAATTCAAAGTAAACATATATGACAAAAGTCAAACTTAAATTATTGTTCTCACTACAATTATTCTATAAATAGATCCTAATAGAGGCGTAAGACATATTACATAAAAACAAAAACAAAAACAAACACAATAATGAAAGAAGCACTTTCTGTTTTGTGTCTTGTACTTGTGGTTTCGGTTTTAGAAGCAGCAGTAACGAAACCAAAATTTGAAGACTTCATCGGATGCCTTCGCTATCGTACTAGTCCGGAGAATCCAATCACCGATGCCATCTCCATCGCCGATAACACCACCGCGTTCTTGTCCTCTTACGTATCCTACACGAAAAACAAAAGGTTCTTGAGCCCTAATTATAAAAAACTACTAGCCATAGTGGCCGCAAAACATGCATCTCATGTTCAGGCCACGGTAGTATGCGCAAAGTCCAATGGTATCCAGCTCCGTATACGAAGCGGCGGTCATGACTACGAAGGCCTTTCTTACATGTCGTCTGTGCCATTTGTTATTCTCGATATGTACAATCTGAGGTCTATTACTGTTGACGTGTCAAGCAAGAAAGCGTGGGTTCAAGCTGGTGCGACCTTGGGGGAGCTCTACACAAAGGTCAATGATGTAAGCCAAACACTAGCTTTCCCGGCTGGCGTTTGCGCTACAGTAGGAGCTGGTGGGCACATAAGTGGTGGAGGGTATGGAAATCTGATGAGAAAATACGGAATCACTGTGGATAATGTCATTGATGCTCAAATAGTTGATGTCAACGGCAAGCTCTTGAATCGACTTACCATGGGAGAAGATCTCTTTTGGGCGATTCGTGGCGGTGGCGGTGGGAGTTTCGGAGTTATCCTCTCTTGGAAAATCAACCTTGTCGAGGTTCCAAAGATCGTGACAGTATTTAAGGTTAACAAAACATTGGAACAAGGAGGCACTGATGTTCTTTACAAGTGGCAGCTTGTCGCTAGCAAATTCCCTGAAAGTCTTTTCGTGAGAGCAATGCCTCAGGTCGCAAATGGAACAAAACGCGGCGAGAGAACCATCGCTGTTGTATTCTATGCTCAGTTTTTGGGTCGAACCGATGAGCTAATGGCGATAATGAACCAAAACTGGCCTGAACTAGGGCTAAAACGTGAAGATTGTCAAGAAATGAGCTGGCTTAACTCGACGTTGTTTTGGGCAGATTATCCAGCCGGTACACCGACGAGCATTCTTCTAGATAGACCGTCGAGTCCAGGAGATTTTTTCAAGAGCAAATCGGATTACGTCAAAAAACCAATCCCTAAAGAAGGACTGGAGAAGCTTTGGAAGACAATGTTGAAATTCAACAATAATATTGTGTGGATGCAATTCAACCCATACGGTGGAGTGATGGACCGGATTCCTGCAACCGCCACAGCGTTTCCTCACCGGAAAGGTAACTTGTTCAAGATTCAATACTTTACGACATGGTTTAACGCAAACGCCACAGAGAGTAGCCTGAGTCAGATGAAGGAGCTTTACGAGGTTGCTGAACCGTACGTGTCAAGTAACCCTAGAGAGGCTTTCTTTAATTACAGAGATATCGATGTTGGAAGCAATCCGAGTGGTGAGACAAACGTTGATGAAGCTAAGATCTATGGATACAAGTATTTCTTGGGGAACTTGAAGAGATTGATGGATGTTAAAGCTAAGTATGATCCTGAGAATTTCTTCAAGAACGAACAGAGCATTCCTCCGGTTCGTGTAATGTAGTGATATTACTGTTTTATAAGATTTACTTATCAAGTTCAATAAGCTATGTGGGCAGGTGTATATAGCCTATATATTGTTCTATTATTGTCTCATTTGCATGATAATCTTTTTGTTATATTTATTCATTACTCAATAAAAAAAATTCATGAAATAAAAATTTCTTAAGCCTGCTCATCACTTCCTAAGACAATGCATGCCTCTTCTCCGCCGGCGTGGTTTTATATTCACACCCAGAAATTGTGCATTTTTAATCGAACTTTCGTTATGTTTTTCTACGAAATGCATTTCATTTTAAACAAACTCTATTTTTTTAGCTTCATAAATTTCATTTTTTTTTAATTAAGCAAAAAGGGAGAACATTGATCTAAATTTCTTAAGACTTATTCTAACCGTCTATTGATCTAAACACTATATACTGTATATAGATACATCTTTTATGTTGACAAACTCCACGAACATTGGAGAGGATATTTTACTCTAAATTTCTTAAGACTTATTGACAAACTCCACGATGGTTTTGAAAAACATCTAATTAAAACAAAACAAAAAATTATACAGTTATATACGTAAATAGGTTTAATTTCACACAAATACCCTTTATGTTTGCAAAGATATATGTGTTATTCTACCATTTTCACACAAATTAAAAAAAAAAAAAATTCAATTTTACTCTTTACTAATACACTAAAATAGTTTTTTTTTCTCTAATTAATAAGTTGAAATAAGTAGAATCTCAATTTTTATGAAACAAAAATAAAATCTTAAAACAACAACTTTTTTGAAACGAAGAAAGTATTATAATAAACACAATTTAATGGTGCATGCATTTTTATGATAATTTAATGTTGATAAAAAAAAGAATCGACGTTTCTGCTATAAGAAAAGTTAATTGTACGTTTAAATTAAAATAATAATAATGGGAAATCATTAGTATTCTACAACAGCGTAACCTTTTAAAATTTCAATTCAACGAGGTGGGACAAAGAAAACAAGGAATTGAAAGCGAAGAGAGGAAAATTCAGTGCATTCTATAAATATTCTTGGCATAAAAATCAACAAACTTAATCGCAATTATTTCAATTAATACTGCTAGATAGCTAGGTTTGTTCAAAATATGAATGAAGTCTCACCTTAGGTTTTCCATTTATATAATAATCTCGTTTCGACTTAGAAAATCTCTGTATTCAACTACCTAAAATGATAATGTGAAATAAAGAAGTTCAAGTGATGCGACTCAATCCCTGATCGCAATCATGTTCCCGTGTTATATACGTACGTTGTAATTTTCGTAAGCTTGTTCAAAATAAACACCTACATGGTGATGAAAAGTCAAAACCAAATTCAAAGTACACCTATTTGGAAAAAAATAGTCAAAATAGTCAAGTTTAACATTATTTTATCTCCATATACATATATATTGTTATTCTATAAATTATAATCCTAATAGAGGCATAAGACGAACAAAAACAAACAGCAAAATGAAAGAAGCATTTTACGTTTTGTATCTTGTTCTTTTGGTTTCGGGTTTAGAAGCATTAGTGACGAAACCTAATTCTGGAAACTTCATCGAATGCCTTCGCTACCGGATTAGTCCGGAGAATCCAATCACCGATGCCATCTTTACAGCCGATAACACCACCACCTTCTTGTCTTCTTACGTGTCATACACGAAAAACACGAGGTTTTCGAGCCCAAACTACAAAAAACTACTAGCAATCGTAGTGGCGAATGATGTAGCTCATGTTCAGGCAACGGTGGTCTGCGCAAAGTCCAATGGTATCCAGATACGTATCCGAAGCGGTGGTCATGACAACGAAGGCCTTTCTTACACGTCGTCTGTGCCATTTGTCATTCTTGATATGCACAATCTGAGGACTATTACTGTTGACGTGTCAAGCAAGAAAGCATGGGTTCAAGCTGGTGCGACCTTGGGAGAGCTCTACGTGAAGATCAATGAGGCAAGCCAAACGCTAGCATTCCCGGCTGGCATTTGCGCTACGGTAGGAGCAGGAGGACACATAAGCGGTGGAGGGTATGGAAATCTGATGAGAAAATTCGGAATCACAGTGGATCATGTCATTGATGCTCAATTAATTGATGTCAACGGCAAGCTCTTGAATCGATCTACCATGGGAGAAGATCTCTTTTGGGCGATTCGTGGTGGTGGTGGTGCAAGTTTCGGAGTTATCCTCTCTTGGAAAATCAAGCTCGTTGAGGTTCCAAAGATCTTGACAGTGTTTAAGGTTAACAAAACATTGGAACAAGGAGGCACTGATGTTCTCTACAAGTGGCAGCTTGTCGCTAACAAATTCCCTGATAGTCTTTTCTTGAGAGCAATGCCTCAGGTCGTAAATGGAACAAATCACGGCGAGAGAACCATCGCGATTGTATTCTGGGCTCAGTTCGTGGGTCGAACCGATGAGCTGATGGCTATAACGAAGCAGAGCTTTCCTGAATTAGGGCTAAAACGTGAAGATTGTCAAGAAATGAGTTGGCTTAACACGACGTTGTTTTGGGCCATGTTACCAGCGGGTACACCGAAGACCGTCCTTCTAGATAGACCTACGGATCCAGTATTCTTTAAGAGTAAATCGGATTACGTCAAAAAGCCAATCCCCAAAGAAGGATTGGAGAAGATTTGGAAGACAATGTTGAAATTCAACAATATTGTGTGGCTGCACTTCAACCCTTACGGTGGAATGATGGACCGGATTCCGTCAAACTCCACAGCGTTTCCTCACCGGAAAGGAAACTTGTTCAAGGTTCAATACTATACTACATGGTTGGACCCAAACGCCACAGAGAGTAACCTGAGTATGATGAAGGAGCTCTATGAGGTTGCAGAACCGTACGTGTCAAGTAACCCGAGAGAGGCCTTCTTTAATTACAGAGACATCGATATTGGAAGCAATCCAAGTGGTGAGACAAACGTGGACGAGGCTAAGATCTATGGATACAAGTATTTCTTGGGGAATTTGAAGAGATTGATGGATGTTAAAGCTAAGTATGATCCTGAGAATTTCTTCAAGAACGAGCAGAGTATTCCCCCTGTTAGAGTAATGCAGTAGTGTTACTCTTTTATCACATATATATATTTATCAAGACAAAACGTAATTTTTAGTAGGAAAATATTTCTATCTCTAACTTTGCAGAGAGAAAAAGTTCTACTATGTAGTGTCCTGTGTAAACTAATTTTCATTATTGTCCCATTTGCAGTAAGATCTCTTTGTTGTTTTAATGTTTTTACTCCATAAAAATTTCATGAAATCAAATTTCATTAAACATACTAGGTTAGATTTCTTTTACTTCTACTTATACAATGGCTTTCGAAGTTCTGAAAACCAGTTAAGTATAGCGACTAACCTGTCATGGACCATTAGAAATCAAAGATTGCAGTCAATAAATATATTGGGCCATAGAATACTAATGATTGGGCCGTAAGCTCAGCAAAGTAATAAACCAATCCGGAAGCGAACATAAATTAGTACCGGTTCAATCGTCCCGGTATATTGAATCGAACCAAAATGTGGCAAAACCTAATTTCTTTTTTTTTAAGAACGAAACGAGCACAGGCAACCGTAAGCATCATCGTCTCTTGAAAGGTGCTGTTCTAAATTGAGCTTAATCTTAAACTACTTCTGTTGTTGAGTTTCTTGCCCGTTGCGGAAAAATTGAGCTTAAACTACTTTGAAGAAACCTTGGTGATTTTTTTGGGGATGCCATCAATGGCGCAAGGAGAACATAAGAGCTTTGTACAAAACAGTAAACCGAACCCTAAATCTGCCTTCAGGTTAGTCTCTCACTTTCTTTTATTAACCATAGTTTCTGATATGATTCCCAGAAAAAATTTAAAAAGATTAGATTTTGCATAATGATTTGTGAATTTTGACTTACAACAGCATGAGACAAAAGATAGCAGAACATAGAAGGTCTCTTCCTATTGCTTCAGGTGCGAGTTATATATTTTGTTCTGTCTTTTTCCAATTTTTTTTTTGTGATATTTCCATGGCTAACTCTGTCGGTGATTGTTTTAAATCCAGTGGGGAAACGTTTGATTGAGGAGGTTCAAAAGAATGAAATACTGATTATCGTTGGTGAAACCGGTAGTGGCAAGACTACTCGTAAGTATGCTGCTTAATCTCAACTACACTTGTTGGCAAATTAAAGTGAATGTACCAAGTTTAATTGATGTTGATCATTTTTGTTTTTTTTTTCCACATGAAGAATTGCCTCAGTTCCTATACAATGCTGGATTCTGTCGAGAGGGAAAGATGATAGGGATAACACAGCCGAGGCGTATTGCTGCTGTCACTGTTGCTAAAAGGGTAGCTGAGGAATGTGAGGTTGAGTTAGGCCAAAGGGTTGGTTATTCCATTAGGTTTGATGATACTACTTCTAGTTCGACAAGGTTGAAATACATGACAGATGGATTATTGCTGAGGTAAACAAAACCACTACTTATATTGTATGTAGCCTAGTTTTATGAACTGTGAAAATCTATTGCTGATCTCTGTTTCTAACAAACATAAAAAAAAAACCTTTTGTCGAAATCCGCAGAGAAGCGCTGTTGGATCCGCATCTTTCTAGATATTCAGTCATTATTGTCGATGAAGCCCATGACAGGAGTGTTCATACTGATGTTCTGCTGGCCTTGCTGAAAAAAATACAGCGGGCTCGGTCAAAGCCTGTTGGTGAGAAAACTGAGTTTGGTAATGTAGCATCACAAGTACAGACTAAAACAAGGGATTCGAATGGTCCTCAGCAGAATGGTGTATTAAAAGGGTGTCAAGGCAGAAAATTATCTCCGTTGAAGCTGATCATTATGTCTGCCAGTTTGGATGCACGTGTTTTCTCTGAGTATTTCGGTGGTGCCAAAGCTGTTCATGTGCAGGGGCGACAATTTCCGGTTGACATTCTTTACACTGTTCATCCTGAATCAGATTATGTAGATGCCGCCTTGGTCACCATATTTCAGGTTATTGATTTTGTGACCTAAACAAGTCTCCTGCCTCTACCAGCATTTGTGGAATGGATATGTGAATGTTCTAGTAAAGTAACTCTGCGTCTGATTTTTTAATTTAATTCTTTTAGATTCATTTTGAGGAGAAGCCAGGTGACATACTTGTTTTCCTCACTGGGCAAGATGAAATCGAATCTGTTGAGAGACTTGTCCAAGAAAGACTTCAGAATATACCTGAAGACAAACGAAAGCTACTGCCACTTGCTATCTTTTCTGCTCTTCCATCAGAGCAGCAAATGAAAGTTTTTTCCCCAGCTCCGACTGGTTTTCGTAAGGTTAGAGAAGTTTAGCTATCATTTGCTTATTTTGGAGATTTGGTTGTCAACTGTGTTGAGATGATAATAAACCAGTGTGAGTTATTTTATTGGCACATTTTAGGTTATTTTGGCCACAAATATAGCGGAGACATCGATTACAATTCCTGGAATAAGATATGTTATAGACCCTGGGTTTGTTAAGGCACGAAGCTATGATCCAAGCAAAGGCATGGAGTCACTTGATGTTGTTCCAGCATCGAAAGCACAGACGCTTCAAAGAAGGTACCATGTTCTACATTCATTAATTCTTTCCATTCAAGATGGTTTGGTTGTTTGCAAAAGTTAGAGTTTTACCTGCATTTATATTTGCTTTCTGGTTTTTCTTTGGCTTTCAATTTAGTGGACGCGCAGGACGTGAGGGTCCTGGGAAGTCCTTTCGTCTTTATCCGGAGAGGGAATTTGAAAAACTGGAAGATTCAACTAAACCAGAGATCAAGAGATGCAATCTCTCAAATATCATTTTGCAGCTGAAGGCTCTGGGAATTGATGATATAGTTGGATTTGATTTTATAGATAAACCTTCAAGGTACCTCCTTTTGTTGTGGATATCTCTGTCATTCTCCTATACTGAGAATATCGATGATTTGGTGCTATAACTAAAGTCTTTTAAGGAAGTTGACTCTCATAGCTGAAGCATGTATTCTGTAATGTTTTTTTCATAAACTCTTTGTTGATCTAGATTGGCATCTGATGTTAAACAGGGGTGCGATTATAAAAGCATTGGCAGAGTTGCACTCGCTTGGTGCCTTGGCGGATGATGGTAAACTAGAGAATCCCGCTGGCTACCAAATGTCACGGCTCCCACTGGAACCTGTATACTCCAAAGCTCTAATTTTGGCCAATCAATTCAACTGTCTAGAGGAAATGCTGATCACTGTTGCCGTTCTCAGTGTGGAGTCCATATTTTATGATCCACGTGAGAAGAGAGAAGAGGTGAGTATACCAAACGACCAGGATATATTCACATTTTCCTTTATATTAACAGTTGATTAAACCAGCCATTTTTATCCTTTGTTTCGCCAGGCAAGAACCTCAAGAAACCACTTTGCTAGCGTTGAAGGGGATCACCTAACTTATCTTAGTGTTTATCGGGAGTCAGATGAGTTCTTGGAAAAGAGAAAAGCAGCCGGTAGTGGAAACAATATTGATAAAATTATGAAAAAATGGTGTAAGGAGAACTATGTGAATAGCCGTTCCTTGAAGCATGCTCGTGACATATATAGGTTGGCCATGCCTTCTTCGTTGATAATTACAGTTGATTGTTATGCCTTATGATGAATTATTATATTCACACAAAGGATTGTTGCAGGCAAATTCGTGAACATGTTGAACAGATAGGTTTTAATGTGTCTTCATGCGGAAATGACATGCTTGGGTTTCGTAGATGTCTTGCTGCATCATTTTTCCTTAAAGCAGCACAGAGACAATTGGACGGTACATACAGGTTGGTTCCGTTCTTGGCTCACTTATTGTCTTCACATGTAAATACGCCTATTATGCTCTGCTCTTTTGCTCACAACAAAACTTCCATTGTCATCTAATTACTTGACAGGGCTTTGGAAAGTGGTGAGGTTGTCCACATCCACCCAACTTCTGTTTTATTCCGTACGAAACCAGAATGTGTTATCTTCAACGAGCTCATGCAAACCAGCAAGAAGTACATCAAGAACCTCACAAGAATTGATTCCTTATGGTTGTCTGAGTTGGCTCCTCATCATTTCAAAACGGCCGAGTGAATTTTGCTTATAACAAGGTAAAACACAACCGATATCTCTCATCAGTTTTTGAACTTGGCATAGAGAGAAGATTTACATCTTTATCCCCACGTTTTTAGAGATTACAAGTTGCAGACTAAAAGCTTCTGATGAACAGGAAAGCAAAATTTCTGGTTCTTTTTGTAATTATCATTTCTCTTTCTGAATGCAGATATAACTGTTTCTATTCTGATAAAGATAGAACATGGATACCACTGGAGACTGATGCTAAACATTTAGAGGAAACTCGTTCGTTTGAAAGAAGATGACTGTGGCTGAGCCAGCATTAATTTACAAGGAAACAAGACGACTAAGTTTAATCTATGCTCTTTTATGGAGCTGGAGACACCTAACATTTCAGGTTTATTATTGTATCTTGTAATAGATTTATACCTTTTTTGGCTTTCGCCTGCACTTGACTCATCTTGAAAGTCAAAAGAATGTGCTCTCCATGTTCCTCCGCTATACATCTGTCTCTCCATCTTTAGCAACCAAATTTAATTTTACATTCAATCATTTAAAATAAAGTGTTTGTCTTATAATATGTCAAAATACAAACATTCCAACTCTGAGCACAGTTATTCTCAGATATATTCTTCAATACCAGTCAGATTTAGTCAAATTATTAATGCTTTGTGAGTACTTGTAACCTCAAAGTCTAATGCAGCACATATACCTTTTGTCACAACGTGAAGGTCTCAACTGTTTGTTATCAACAACCAACAGAGGCAAGCACGAACATGGGAACATGTAGTATCTATAAACCAACCTTCTCTTCTTGTTTGGTTGAGAAACTAATTAACACATAGAAAATTCAAAAAAATGGGGAACTCGTTCACATGCATATCTCACGAGCAAGAACAACGTCCCAAGAAATCCTCCGGCGGAGGAAGAAGTAACTCCGGGAAATACAAATACGTGCGTCGTCTGTCGCTGATGCCTTCATTTAGAAGGCGGACGCTACTTCCTTCGCTCTCCTGCTCTGGATCATCATCCACTACGTCGTCCAAGAAAGGCGGGATCAAAGCAAAGACGAAGAAGATAAGAGAGAGACATCATCATCATCAAGACCACGAAAAAGACTCTCATATAATTCAGGAGCAAACACTAGCAGCCACTAATCTCCTCTTCAACCAAACCCCTCGTAGCAGCAACTCTGTTGTTCCTCCTAGTTTCAGACGCTCCACCTCCGTTGTCTATCCCTCGGCTCAGCCATCGGGTACCAGCTCAGGACCTGTTTTAGCGGTCCAGACTCCTAAGAAGTCAAACGCGGGATTCGTAAGAAGCTCTAGCTCTAGACAAAGGTCCAGTACCGATCCCTTGATCAAGCCTAACCAGCTCGTTGACAAGGCAAGCACTTGGCTTAAAACTAATGATTTAGCCTAACCATACGTTAAGATTGTGGTGACATGTATGTGTATGTATGTGTAACAGGAGCTAAATAAGGTGGAAGGTTCGGAGACGAAGCGGTTCGTGCTGGTTCATGGTGGTGGATTCGGAGCATGGTGTTGGTACAAAACCATAACGCTCTTAGAGAAACATGGTTTCCAAGTCGATGCTGTTGACTTGACCGGTTCAGGTGTGAGCTCTATTGACACCAACAACATCACCAGCCTTGCTCACTACTCCAAGCCTCTCCTCCACTTCTTTGAATCCCTTAAACCCACCGAGAAGGTTCACAATTAAATCTTAGAAACCAGTCTTTATTTTTACTAGTGCTAATTAATGATGAAAATTACAACATTCAGTGTGGATCATGTTAATTTAAGACCATAATTAATTAATAACAGGTGATATTGGTGGGGCATGATTTTGGAGGAGCTTGTATGTCTTATGCTATGGAAATGTTCCCTACTAAGATCGCCAAAGCTGTCTTTATCTCTGCTGCTATGTTGGCTAATGGCCAGAGCACTCTTGATCTCTTTAATCAACAGGTACTTTTTAATCAGGTGGATAGCTTAATTTTCGTATTTATCATGTAAAAATAGCGTGTTGTGTAAATATTTTTTTTAATATCATGCTAATTGCAAAAATGATACATAAAATCAACTTTTCATCTATTTGCAAAATAAGTATCAAAATTAAGTTACATAGTGCATTTAACTTTTCATTGAGATAAAAAGAATCTCTTATGCTCACAAATTCCTTTTTAACTGTATTAATTTGATTTATGTAATTCTTTCAGGTGGGGTCAAATGATCTGATGCAACAAGCACAGATCTTTCTGTACGCCAACGGCAAAAAGAATCCTCCAACTGCCGTTGATTTCGACAGATCTTTGCTTAGAGACTTTCTCTTCAATCAAAGCCCTCCAAAGGTAATTTGAACCGAACCAATCAAATCTTATACCGGTGCACTTCGATTTGATTACTGAACCGACATTTTTTTGTATTATAGGACCTCGCATTGGCCTCGGTATCCATTAGACCGATCCCGTTCGCACCGGTCAGCGAAAAAGTTCACTTGTCGGAGAAAAACTACGGTTCTATCCGACGGTTCTACATCAAAACCATGGAGGATTACGCTGTACCGGTTCTTCTCCAGGAAGCAATGATCAAATTAAACCCACCGGAACAAGTTTTTCAGCTCAAAGGCTCCGATCACGCACCGTTCTTCTCTCGGCCTCAATCCTTGAACCGAATCCTCGTCGAGATATCTCAAATACCGTTCAAGAAATCATCCTAAGGTTATTGTTTTGCACCAAAAAAAAAATGTTAAAAAACGTTATTGAATTTTTTGTAAACCGGATGCAATTATACCAAACCGGTTATAGGATTCCTTTACCTTATAGAGATTGTTTTTTGAGATTGCTGAGTACCAATTTGGGGCCTTGCTCTTAACTTTTTACTATTATTTAATTTTGTCATTTAGGTTTGATATATTTGGCTAATAACATACTAATAACCTATAATCATTTTTAATTATTGGGTTAACCAGCAGTAATTTACCAAAAAATCAATGATAAGCAACTATGGTTTAGTAATGTTTTTGTTTGAAATACTCGACAACTTTTTGTTATCGAGTATCAACGTTTTGTTGGAGTTAGATTATTTGTTTTTTTATTTTTGCAAAAATCATTGAATTTTTGGTAATATATAGGTTAACCAGCAATAATTTAAAAACTATTTAATTTTGTCATTTAGGTTTGATATATTTGGCTAATAACATACTAATAACCTATAATCATTTTTAATTATTGGGTCAACCAGTAGTAATTTATCAAAAATTCAATGATAAGCAACTACGGTTTAGTAATGTTTTTGTTTGAAATATCCGCTGGTTTAATAATGTTTTTGTTTGAAATACTCGACAACGTTTTGTTATCGAGTATCAACGTTTTGTTGGAGTTAGATTATTTGTTTTTTTACAAAAATCGGATCTCGAACCCTGACACCTCACTCGTTTACACAATTCATTACACATGAACAGGGAAATTTGGGACGTTCGAGACCCAATTTTTGCAATAAAAATTTACAATTTTAATTCCAACAAACACAACAACGTCGTTTTAAGCTACGCCATCAAACACGTGTCAGTTGACTCAGCAACCGTAACGATTGACTAGCATTGGTTAATTACGACTCCGAAAAAAACACTAAATATAAAGTTTGAGTATGATATTCAAATTTTTTTACGGTTTAGGTTGGAATTAATTCAATATATTTGTTCAGGTATGAAAACACATTTTGCAAATTGTACGAGTGTGAAAATACCCTTTTTCCGAGAGAGAATAAGGTGTTTTCTAAAGATAATTAGAATTGTCGTTTTTTCATTTTTTTTTAACCAACCAACAACAAGTTAAAGGCAACAAATTACACAAAACTAATAAATTACACAAGTCTTGTGTTAAAGTAACAAAGCTTTCTCATTTTTACAAATCACACAAATACACAGTAAAATAAATAAAAGTAAAAATAAAAATAAATTACACAAGTCTTGTGTGCCAAGCGCAATACCTATATAAAACACTCTCTCTATCACTCTTTTTTTATTCTTCTTTGGGTGCACAAAAAACTAACAAAACTCTCTTTTTTTCACAAATGGCATCAAAAATTACCCTAATGCTTAAGGGAAGAAAGCTTCAGACATTTACAATGTCATAAGTTATGGATCACAAATTTATGGCAAGATCAAAGAAGTTTTCAAGAACAAAGAAGCAAGAGATCAAGAGTCCACAAGAGTCAAAGATATTACTCTTCTTGTGAAGAAGAGTGATGAAGATAATCAACTCAAACAACCAACACTCCAAGAAATGATGACTCAACGTGTTATGTATAGTTTTGTTTTATTTCTTAAGTATTTTTTGGTAAAATTTCTTACTTTTTCTTCCACAAACTTATATCTTTGTGTAATTGATTTAAACTATATATTTTTCTACCAATTTTTATTAGTTTTTTCTTACAAAAATTTGGTAAAAACTTGGTTCTTTTTTTTGGTTAAAAGTCTATATCTACCATAATCTTATATTTTAGTGTAATTTTAATAATTTTCTTAAATTTATTTTGGCAAAAATTCACTTATACAAAAAATTTTTAATCTTTTGCACAGGTTTTACTCATGGCCCCTCTCCCTTACTGTCTCTCTCTTTCTTTCAAGTCCAAGCTCTTCCTCCTCAACTAGTCACTCCTTACGTGGTTGCCCAATGGCTCAAGAGGGAGCTAAATGTTGATGGGCTTGGATCCAACTAAGCTACAACATCACGTTTTGTTAATATTGTTTTTGCTATAACTTAAAGAACTTTATATTATTAATGTAAGGAGTGAACTTTTACCTTTAAAGTTGAATGATGTGTTTATGTTTATGTCATGACTGAAAATTTGGTGTTAATTAATTTTTTGTTTACTTTTGATTCAAATTAGTAAGTTGAGGGAGAAAGAAAACACACATAGTAGAAATCAATAATAATAATAATATTAATGAATGCTTTAAAATTGAAAAAAGATAATCAAATAATAATAATAACAATAACCAGTAGGTGTAGTTATGTAGCTAGTAGTAGTAGTGAAGAGAGAATATAGTCTTGATTTGGCACAACTTTCTAATAGTAAAAGACAAAAAATATATGAGCTATCTTACAAACCTTTTTCTTTACACACACTTTTGATACTATAATACCCATTATAAAAAAAAAAAGCATGAAATAGATTTATTAAATGATAAGTAGCATGAAAGAGATGCGTTAAATGATTTGAACGAGTAAAATATTTTTTTGTACTTTGTTAATATGCGTAAAAAGCTACCTACATTCGTATGACTTGGGAACTTTATTAAAAGATAATTTATAATTTGGTAATTGTGGAAATAATTTAATTTGGTGCGTAAAACCATGAAAGGCTTAATTAGGTGGAAAATAATGGATGGGGAAAATGCGATTTGAGGATATAGAAGTTGGGCAACGGAGATTTTATGTCTAGTTGGATATAGCTTTACATTTTGCACCACTGGACTCTAGCCCTCTTATTTTTTACTTTGAAATGTTCATGGTGCATATATATATATGTATTAAATATAAATAAACTTCTTTTTTTAATGTTTTTTTTTTTATATGTCAGTCGTAAGGAAAAAAAAAAACATAATGTATTCAAGCTGATAATTTGGTCTTAGACTGAGATATTGATCAAGTTGATTACGTTTTCCTTTCTGTGGTAAGGATCTTTTGGGAACATATAGTCTTCTCTATTTGTTGCAAGTACATATAGTCGTCTTCTATTTGGTTGTTATTTTCAATCAAGGAGAGCAACACAACTCAAAAACAAAGGAGTGTTGTTGGAGGTATTAGACAAAGCTGACGCAGACGGCAGACCATAATACCACCAGCAGTATCATCATCAACACAAGTCAGAACCAACAAGATCTAACCTATGGGATTCCCTTTCCGTTACTGGCTGGTCTTATAGACCGTGGACAATTTCAATTCAGGAGCAATAAGCGATACATCAGGTCCTATACTTGCATGAACTTGAGAGGAGATCTCATGTACAATACAAAGCAAAGAAATTCAACAAAGAAGTGTCTTTCTCAACTGTAACCTAGAGATAGAGCTACCAACTTTCAGGTTCCAATGAAACGGATCATAACTAAGATATTCTCATCGCTATATGATCATAGCTCCACCAGTGTCTCAGACTCTCTCAGTTACATATACTAAAAGCAAAAGGACAAGCAAGGAAGATTATTTTTGTAGTTGTTTGAGGTCTTTCTGAATCAAATAGACATATCCTACATAATATCAGAGGTTCACAATGCTATAGATAATGTCTCGACTTTGCAAGGGGGCTATCTGGTGCAATGCTGATAAGAGTAAGGTCAAACAGGACGATATGCAGAGACTTCTTCTTATAAGAAGATTGATGATACAAGCAAACCAAACCATCCATTAATCATATATATTCATATCATTAATGTTTGTATTGAAACATGATCTCAACTCAAAATCTGATGAAAATGAAAAATAACAATGATCTCTATCATAGCTGTTATTCAAAAATCTATAATGGGGGTGTAAAGTTGATTCCCCAGTAATTCAATATTTCAGAGCATCTCAAGGCAAGAAAGGGACTAGTAATTATTATGTCTTGCGAGAGAACAAGACACTAACCGCTACAGAGATGGTGATAATGGAAACAGGAACAAGCCAATACTGCTTTGTCAAGTCAACAAGCTTTTGAACAGAGTCTGTTGGCTGCTCCTTCTTGTAGATCTTAAGCTCAGGTATTTCCGGTAAAGAAGATTCGTCTAGCTCGCCAATAAAATACTTCTCCATGAGTTCCCTAGCATCTTTACTATGCCCTGCGTCTTCAAAATCATCCGTTGCATCTTTGCCTTCAACAACATCATCACATTTACTTGGATTAGAGTAGAGACAACAACAGATCAGTCATTAAAGCAAAGATGGGCAAGAGGAAGAAGAAGCTATTACCGGTGACAGCAAGAAGCACATCATCTCCTCCGGGATGCTCATCCATATACGAGGTTACGTCATAGACCTGCAAGTGTTCATCAATGTTTAGAGATGACTGAATTGGACCAAGATTGAGAAGTCAACACATTACCAACAAAAATAAGAAGAAGATTCTGATTAGCTCAATCTAACAACATATAAACAGCAACTACAAGATTCTTCATTAGATTCTAGAGTCAATAAGAGACAGATATGGTTTCCGAAAGCGAAGGACCCCTTCAAGATTCGAATTGAAATTAGAAGAAAGAAAAGATTGAGAAAAAGAGTAGACCTTGCCGTCGATGACGACCCAGCAGTCATCTTGCTTGTTGTGAGTTGCGACTTCTTCCATTGAATAAAGCTTTGTGAGAGTCGGCATCTTCTTCTGTAACAGAGCGAATGGTCTTTCGATTTTTCTCTTTTTTGGGGGTTTTAGGTTTGGTCGACCACGCAAAGATGAGAAGACTAGAGGAGAAAGATATGAGCTAGAACCCTGCCAGCAACGACGTCGTTTTAACTTAATTATTTATAATTTCTTAATTCCTTTTTGAAAAATTAGCAAAAATGGATAACAAATCTAGTAGCAGAGGGAGATACTTTGTTGAAAAAGTTGACCAATTTTTTGAGTTTTATATATTCTCATAGATTACTGAGAAATGCCTTGTAACAACTAATTATACAGAAGATTTATTTATCATCATTTATCATTTACATCTTCGTACAATTGTTTTAACTAGATTAGAAAATTCTCAACTTGTACTCCAGATGTTAAGCCATATGGTAAAAAAGTTTACAAGCATAACAACTTAGGTGACTTAAGAATATAGCCAAGCCAATTGAAGTCAATATGGCAAAACCTCTTTCCAAGTCTAGTTTGTTACCTACCCTCTTTGATTTTGAGTTTTACTTTTCCGGATGGCAATAAACTAGGAGCTGACCATCTTCACTTGCTATGCATATATTTCTCGAGTCATCTGTACTTATGCATGAAACTCTTTGACCTAACAAAATCCAAAAACAATAATAACTTTTGAGAATCGGCTTACCTTATTTTGGATATGAACAGATATAGATAAGACTTGAAATTAATGTTTACCTTTGAAATCATGAAGAGAACCGAGTTTAGCGCCAGTGGACAAGTCCCACATATACACAAGTCCATCAAGTGTGCCTGCTACTCCATGACCAGATATTGTACCGGCAACATCAGCCCTGTAGTAAACCACAGATCCATAGCCAAATGAACCATGCCTTTAGAAATGTTAACCCTTTACTTCTCATATAATTCCCAAAGCAAAACTACTTTTCTCGGAACATGGAGAAACCAGAGGAGCCTAAGAAGGAAATTATCCATGTAAAGAAAGAGATCTGTGATAATACCTCGGATCCAACTGATTTCCCAATATGAGTTGGTTTTTCACAAGGAGAGCCAGTCTCCAACATCTAGCTGGACTTTCTACACGGTCACATTTAGCATCGGATTCAAGATCAGTAGAGACTAAAAGCCAAATAGCAGTGTCTTTGACTTCAGCTGGAACCAATGTTTTGTTGTTGATCCCTTTTGAGAACCATAGTTTTGTTGCAGCTAAAATCATGTCAACGTGATCCTCGATTGTAGAATGACTATGTACAGGGTGCCATGCAAACAAGCTGGTTGGAATGAACTCAAAGATCAAATTGCTGGGAGATACAAATCTTGATACTAGGCTTCGTTTTGAGATATCCCTAAATCGATAATAAACTAAGTCAGCAGGCCGAAACCATGGAGACAGGAAGAAAAAGAAAGAGCAAAGTTGGCTGATCCTCATCATTCCCTAGCAGGAATAGTGTTCTGTAATTGAACAAAAAGATGGGAAGAGAAAAACTTCAAAGATAGAGGGAGAGAGAGAGAGGGAGCAAAATACCATATTGTAAATTCTCCAATACCATTATGCCCGATTACGAGATGAGGACATTTTGGGATCTTCTTCAGTTCCATGATGCATGATGATATGCAAGGATTTGCGAGTATAACAGATTCTTCGGTAGAACCACTGCAAATAAAGGATACGAGAACATTAGCAAAAATTCCAATGATGATCCAACCTACAGCTCCACATAGAAGAAGGATCTGACAACTATTTTAAGAGAAGAGCAATGAACTCTGATGAGAGTACCTCCAATGCGAGTTCATAGCCCAGACAATAAGGTTTCCACTTTTGACAGCTGCAATGAGATTGTTAGGATCGCACACCACCACGCACTGCACACTGTCATCTGCTTGAAGTTTTGTCACAAGAGAAACATGACCAGTTTTCACCTGGACAATCCTCACTGCATTCTCCTCAAAACAGGCTGACGTACAAATCAAACACGAGCAATCAGTTTCCCTCTTCCTGCAAGAAAGAGAAAAGAATAATCTCTTAGCTGATATCTTTATTATGTATCCCTGTACCATATGAAACAATAAAGAGTCCGAACCTGCAATAAGGTGTTTTGATGTTGCCAATTAAAATAAGATGCAGCCCGTCTGGAGTGAAGTGCAAATTAGATATCTCGAGTGTTCTCTGACGAAATGTAACAACTAACAACTATTAGATAACTAATGAGGAAAAACAAGTTTAATAGAAGAAATTAGGAAAAAATTCAATGAATTTACATTTCCACCAGATTTGTCATCCACAATGGGGAGTATGGCAGGAGTGTGACCAATGATAGAGGGGAATCCTTTGCTTGGTGCTTTAGCTGACATCTTGTACATAAACAGGGTTCTAACTCTATCTTCTGTAGCAAAGCTCAACACGCAAATATAGATTTCATTCCCAGCAGACTTGAGTAATACTGATGAAACAGGCATGGGATGAAAGTAGCAGCCAAGCAGCTCAACAGTTTTTCCCATCTCATTGTTGATCTTTACATCTCTGTTGATCTCTAAATTTGAGCTAGCTGGAAATTCCTGCACAGAGGTTCTTTTCTCGCTAGTATTTTCCTTACACTGAGACTTTGTAGAAGGTGGTTCAGAGACTTGGATGCCCAATGCCTCACCAATATTGGCTTGACAATCCTCAAATTTTGAAGCTGGAAATGAGGATGATGATATACTTGCATTTCCAAAAGCATGAGCTGACCTCATATCTTGTGGTACCACACACGCCTCATTGCTTTTTACAGTGGTGAATGTGTTGTTATTCACGTTCACCAACTCAGGACCCTGGTATTGTTCTGTTACATGACCGCTTCCATCGCCCAGAGGATTCGTTCTATCTGATACAGAGTTGGTAGACACGGTCGGCTGAAGCTCCAAGATACGTGGGGGATTAATAGGAGACATACTCCTTATGGGATCATCTTCTCCAGTATTTCTGCAACTGTTTTTACTTTCATAGGACGAATTTCTGTTTCTTCGATGTTGATTGGTCGAGACTCTTTTTCTGCTATACACTTTATGTTTTTCTTTTTTAATTGAACAAGCTTCAGTTGTGTTGACCAGAAAACCATTACCTGCAGGCAATTAGACTCATGCTTATATACACAGTAGTCAGATATTCATGCAAAGCTTCTGAGGGTGGAGGCAAATGGTGATATTTATAGATTTAGCGTACTACCTTCAGTAGAACATAATGTGCTCTTTGGTTCCTTGTTTTCTGAGTGGTGTTCTTTTTGCAACAAGTTTCCTTCTGCTGCACAGAGTTCCTTAGATTCTTGGGATAAAATCATGTTAGCTGAACTGGTGCAGTGTGGTATTGACATGGACTTCTTCACATATGCTTCTTGATTATTCTCTTCCATAATAGTACTAGCATCATGTGAAGATGGGTTTATGATCGCAATAGTCTCCAAAGCAGAAACTGATAGATCATTTACTATTGCAACATGTTTCTCGGCTATGTGCATTTTAGGAAGGACTGCTGGATAGACTTCCTTGGAAGAAGAGATGATATGACCACTCCCAGGACCAACCAAGTGAGACTCATCAAAACTGTCAGGGGCAATGGATACATTTCTTGCAAAATCCTGATCGGAATCTGGAGCAACAACTTGCATATTCTCATCATCTCCACTAGATTCTCTTATCGCCAGTGACACAGCTGCAAATTTAGAAGAGGAATTATGGACTATGGAATAAGGGAATACTTCAAGAATCACAGCTTTTGGGAAAAAATACTGCAATTTCAAATCTGAACTATATTCAGGCCTTTCCTAGGGGTTAACTATACCAGTTCCTGACGCATCATTAAGTTGGCTCGTTTTGCAGTTGTCTGACATATCATTTCTTGGGGGCTTCTTGCTTGAGGCCTTCTTGAGCAGTGGAATTGCTTGAGGAAGTAGTAATGACATCATTGATTTGGCAGTTTCCTGATCAACTGAATCAGAATCACTATTTTTAGAAGTCAGATTCAAAGTAGAGTCAGCTAAATCCTCCGCATTTAGTTCAGCTATAAGCCCTTCACCAACTACCATGTTAGCAAGTGTCAATTCTTCCTTTTTCATGCAACTTGTATCATCATCTATTTTTGGAGCAGGACTTATGGTGTTATCTGCAAGAATTGGACAAAAAGGAGTCCATGAAAAGATGCAGCCATGATGATTACAATCTTCTTACTGCTAGATGCTGACATCCTGGTATTAAACAAGTAAAAATGAAAAGCTAATACCTTGCAGGAAATCCAAGGTATCAGGTGCACAAAAACTGGAACCAGTCATATTTGGGCTCTCATTAAGAAAATTATCATCGTTGGGTTTGTTTTCCTTTTCTTGCAACCCATGAAGCTGAAAAATTTAAGACACTTCTTGTTAAAAACAACTTTCCTGGAGAAAAAAAACTTCACCAGTCTACTACGCTAAAATAACGAAAGATAATTCGAGAAAAGCATACTAGAAGTTCTTTATGGAATACCTCTGCAGAAAATTTGGATAATGGCTTTGATTTACAGATATCAGGAAGCCGGTTTGTTTCTTGAATAGGGATGACAACTTTCACTTGTGGTGGCTTTTCTGATGGTTGAGATGAATATTCGTTTGTAGCATGACTAGAATCCAATTGCTCTGGTGGTGCAACTTGCAGGCCAACTGTCTCCACTTCTCCATTTACTGAACTGATTGACACTGGTGCTGAATTTAAAATCTCGCCACCAGATAATGAGTCTTGGAATCTTGGCTTTTTATGGCCACTTTTAACTACTGAATTGTGGTATGTTATTCCAGGTTTTCTGCTTCTCTTCTTTCTAGCCACTGGCATGTCCAGATAACATAATAAATTTGGATTTGCACACATGACTGGCCTTTCATCATTGACCGGGATTTGAGAGGCCCTACTGCTGGGACTAGATTCTACCATTCCATGGGAATTGGTCACAAGTTCCCGGAGCAACCTCTGAACCAACGGGTTTTTGAAGCCAAAAAACTGTAGCAAAAAAATAAAATCATAGTCATCTTAAACCGAAGTAATTAATTAACCCGATCACAGTGGTACGATAAACTACAAACCAGGTGATAGTTCTAGTGACCAACACCGAAGGGAAGCAAAACATTTGAAAACATTCTTAGTTAAAGTAGTATGCTCAACTTGTCTGGCGGGTATAAATTAAGAGCATAATGACAAGTGATAGTACTATGGTTTTGCCTATGAATCAACTCAGAATTGAGAAGTCAGAAATGCAAGGATAATAAATTAAGCGCATAATGACAAAAGACAGGCTGTTTTGAATAGTAGAAGGGGACAAGAGGCCTCCTTATCAGAAAGAACAAAAGGTATGATCAAAGCTTATAGATCCCCAAATCTTAACTGTATCTTTTTAATCTGTTTAAAAGAGCACTACTTATACTATAATGTTCCATGACTTAAACAAAATGCAGATTAAATAATCGTGCCTATAAAACTCACAAGTATACAGATAGTGATCATGTGGCCAGCAAGTGTTATTCAAAAGATTCGCCAAATCATCTCAATAATATGCAAGAACATTCTTGGAAAGGCAATGACGCATGTTTGATTTTGATACATCTATTATATCGTAGATTAGAATTGGTTGTAAAAGTAACATGCAAGATGGTCTAAAGAAGGATAAACTGAGATGTGTACCTCCATGCCGCCCATCTTACATGTAAATCGTTTTCCATGCCATATTTTTAAGTGGGAGAAGCCCGTCTTCTGGAACTTTCCCCATGCAATATCCGGGGTCTGCCCCGTCCAGGATTCATCCAAGTATCTAATCTGCAACAATAGAGTAAGACTTTGCTGCATTCTAAAAAAAATATGCACAATCTTCTAAAATTTATATGGAATAAGCAACACACCAGAAATAAAGGTCCTTTGGCACCTTCTTCAATCTCCATGTAATATGTGTTTCCATTGTGAGCTCGAACAGCTTTGTAGCCTACAGGATAAGGGAAACGATCTTTGCCCTGATGAAAAAGAAAAAGAAGGTAAGTATTTATAGAAATTCTGCAGACAGTACACCCATATGCATAAGTTGTACCAAAAGATCTAGTGTTGTTCAGGAACTGAGAACACTCAAAATACAAGTTTCGTTTTCTTCATTGAACCCAATCCACATCCTCAGCTTAAGGATCTAGTCTCTACTCTCTATCCTATGCAGTATCACAGGTCGTAAATTAAAATCAAAATTCTTCAAAATTAGCGATCATCGTTAAATCCACTGTTCATCGGTCCTGAGATTGAAAAATGTACACTAAAGCTACACTATACGTATCGCGATTCATTGTATCACAGACATATAACCGCCATCGAAAATCCTCAACATGGATCAAATCACACTAATCGAAGTCAATCAAATTCTATATTTCTTCTCAATTTTCTATGGAATTAGATAAGTAACACAGAAATTGAAAGCTAACAAGAGCTATCGAGCGACGGATACAGGATAGAGAGCAGAGAAAACCAACCCTAGATGAACTCCAGTACTTCTTGTCCCATGAGCCGGTATAGAGAGCTCCGACGGAGACGATTTCTAGGTCATCAGACTTTCTATCTTCAGATACGACTCTTGGACTCGCCATTGAAAGTCTGGAAAACACGAGATCGCAGCACCGGAGAAAAAAATCGCGACGCCGGAGAGCAAATGCGAGGGAGAGATAGAGAGAGAGAGAGATAGAGAGGGATTATGCTTTACGGCTTTTAACTGAGTCGCGGGAAATAAAATGATTCCCTCCATAACTCTATATCAAACTTCAAAGGCCGAATCTTAAACGGCATATTAAAAGACTCACTTAATGGGCTTTTGGGCTTATACAAACATTAACAGGCTTAACCACTTTGAAGGGGTGTATTTGATGCTTAACCATTTTGAAGGGGTGTATTTGAGTTAATCATTTTAATCAATTTGATGTATTGGATTAATCATGTTAACAAAGTTTACTATAGAGCTTAAATGGTGAAAAAAATTCTCAATTGTTTTGTTTTAATGTTGACATCGCATTTTTTTTAATACCATAAAGCTGAGACTTTATACAACGATACAAGAACCCTAATTAAAACATAGTGGAAAAGTCAACTTATATAACTTGATACGTCTTAAAAAAAAAATGATACGTCCAAACAAAATTGAAACAAGTCTCATTTTTAAGTTCAAAAAATGCGTTTCTTATTTCCATGTCTCGAGGAAATGACTTGTCCGAACAAAACTAAAAACAAAGAGTCATAATCTAGTTTTGGTATGATTCATGGAGTAACCTGGGTTATCTCATGGAGAAGCTTGGGGAACGGGGCTGTATTGACCTGGGGATTCCTTTATCAAGTACAGTAAAGGAAGTGCTGACTATGACCCGCAGAAGGAACCATCGACAAAATATCCTTAATCTGGTGGAAGAAGAAATTCGAAAACAAAGGTTAAATCAGAGAACAATGGACCGTGATATAGCATTGTGGAATGGGAAAAATGGCTGCTTTCGTAAGAAGTTTATAACAGGAGAAACATGGTCGTTGCTACGTATTGCTAAGCCACCGATGGAGGGACATAAGGAGATATGGTTCTCTTACGCAACTCCTAAATATGCATTTCTTACTTGGCTGGTGTTGAAAAACAGAATCTCAACGGGGGAAAGAATGGTGAAATAGAATAGTAATGTGAATCCAAGTTGTGTTTTTTGTAATGTACAGATGGAGACAAGGGAACACCTATTCTTTACATGTCATTACTCCAAACAGATTTGGAGGACTTTGGCAAAGGGGATCCTCTTAAACAGATTCTCGGAGTGTTGGAGTGAGATATTGAAGATCCTAGCAGAAAACGTACTTGACAAAACAAAGAGCTTCTTGCTAAGGTATATTTTCCAGAACTCCATACATTCGATTTGGTGTGAACGGAATAAAAGAAGGCACGGAGAGCAGCCCTCATCGATAGAGGTACTTGTGAAGATGATAGATAAAAATGTCCGAAACCGGTTGTGCACGATCCAAGGAGGTGACGACTTGAGATTTGAAGGTGGCATCCAAGTTTGGTTTGAATCAAGGCAATAGAGTTTACACGATAAAAAAGTTCTATTCAATTTGTTTTTGAAAAAGTTAGCATTCTATATGTATAAACGTTTATTTTTCTTTTGAATATAATTTAACATTAAATTCAAAAAAAAAAAAAAAAAAAAAAAAACGTCTCACTCACTCACGAGCAACCACAAAGAGTTGTTTCCCGACGTTTTTACCTTCAAAGAGTCCTAGCAGAGCTGAAGGCCCACTCTCGAATCCTTCCGCTATGTCCTCAACGTATCTTATCTTCCCTTCTCTAATGTAAGGAAGCACAAAATCCAAAAACTTTGAATATTTGTCGTAGAAATCACAAACCCCAAACCCTTGAAGTTGTATCCTCTTGTAAAGGATGGTCGGTAGGTTGTGTACGCCTTCTGGATCCTCTAAATTGTACTGTGAGATCATTCCACATACTGCGACACGACCATGCAACCTCATGTTTATGAGTACGGCATCTAACATTTTGCCTCCAACGTTCTCAAAATATATGTCGATCCCTTCCGGAAAATACCTATATAATTATAATAAGTTTTTTTTTATATATATAAAGAATATAATTATAATAAGTTAGCCCTTGTATATTACATGTATGATTTTGTATCTATATATAAACTAGAGATCGATGTGTAAACTGACCTCCTTAGGGCAGCACTAAAGTCCTTCTCTTCCTTGTAATTGAAAGCATCATCAAACCCAAACTTTGTCTTGAGAAGATCAACCTTAGGGAAATCCATAAAGAAAGATAATGAGAAAATCACTTTCTTGATATGCATTAAAGTTTGATAAGAAATGTAGAGTTTTAAGTACCTTTTCTTTACTGCCGGCACTACCAACGACATAACAACCCATCAACTTTGCAAATTGTCCCACGAGCTGACCAACCGCGCCAGATGCAGCTGACACGAAGACAGTCTCTCCTTTTTTAGGTGAACAAATTTCGTAAAATCCAGCATAAGCAGTCATACCAGGCATACCTGTTCGGATCAAATTAAACGAAACAATTTAAAACACAACCAAACTAAGCCATAAATCGAGAAAAAAAACATCACACATAGCCAAGCTCTTTTCACTACCAAACTAAGAGTGAGATATAAGATACCAAGAAGTCCAGTGTAGTAAGATAACGGGACATCGGTGTGTTGGATTTTGAAATGTGAGTAATGAGTTAAAGTAATAACACTATACTCCTCCCATCCAACTAGTCCCCAAAGTAAGTCTCCCTTTTTGTAATCTGGATGCCCTGAATCTATCACTTTAGACACTCCAAGCCCAATGATTGGCTGCATACACCACATTGAAATTATCTTTAACATGAAGTAGAGAAGAAATTCCGAGAGAAATTTTCAATTTTGCTAGAGACATAATTTCTTTGAGAACACCATATTCACCAAAAGCGTTGCAATGAAGACAGCATTCTTGAAAACAATTAATCCCTAATGAACATTACCAGCTTGATGTCACTGAAATGGTCTAACATGCACATCCGTTTCATATTAGTCTCTTGTTGGATTCTTCAAAATGTTTTCACAAGAAAAGTAGCAACGTTATCAAAAATTCAATTCATAAGACACACCCCACATACTGACATACATGTCACGGTATGTAATAATATTTATACATAAATTTTCAAATTCATTCATTGGTTCCAAAACATTAAGAGGTAACCAATGCAATAAACGCAAAAGCATTAATTAGAGTAAAATAATTATATTTCATTTTCAATGGAGATTTCTAATTTTCAGATAACAATGGAAATATGTAAAGTCCTTGTTCATACCACGCCAGTCTTGTACGGTGGAACAAGGGAAGAAGACAAGGGATCGGGCTTTCCCATGCAAATGCGCATGTAAGGATCGCAAGACAAGTAAAGATTCTTCACCAGCACTGACGTGGATCCCTCCGGAAGCCTTAGATCGATGGTAGTTGTGGTTAGGTTAAGATCAGATTCTCTTGGGAATCCACTCACATAGTCTCGGAATATGATCTGCTTGTTGGTCACCGTCGCTGCCTCTGTGTTAGCCATTTCTCCGATTTTACGTATTTTTTATCACTAAGAAAACTTCTTCTTTCTTACGTAGGTAAGATGATCGTGTCTACTTTTTGTAGGTTTCTCAACGTTGGTGTGATCATACTTTGTGCTAACACCCTTTGATTTTCTTTGCCTTATTGTTTGATCCAACTTCTTCGGGAGATAAATAAGGTACACACCGACTACTATTTTGTGGAAAGTACAAAAAAAACAATCTTAAGAATAAAAGAGTATTTGTACTAATCATGATTTTTTTAATTAAATTAGTAAATACGCATGTGCTTAAAAAAAAATTGCAAAACACACTCAATTGGATTGGATGACACATAGAAATTTAAAACCTAACATTCAAATCATGCTATTTTATACATGTGATTAGAGAAAGGACTAGGTATCACGTATTCACGTTACACTTAACAGATTGTGCGCTACTTACTAAAATAGCATAATTATGTGTAACGTAACTAAAGGTTTCATTTACCAAAATAAATATTAATTTATGCTTACATGGTAAATTCATCCTAAATTAAAAGAAAAATATCTGTTGACTGAAAAATTATACAAAACTCAAAAAAAGAAAATGAACTAATAAGTAAAAAAAAAACTAAGTAGAATAGTTGCAACGATTCAAATTACATAAATATGATAAATTTTAATGGAAAGGAGGAAGTACTGCAAATGTAAGAAAAGTGTCGATAATGGAGATCAGCGGATGCTGTCGCCAAGGGCACGAGCTTTAGATTCTCTTAGTTTTGCTCTAAATGTTCTTCTTTGGTACTTTTAATTATTGCATTAGTTGCTTGCTTCTTATCTCCATATAAATAAATGGGTATCTATTTTCTCTCGTATCTTATTCCGATGTTTGGATCTACGTACTACATAAATAAATCGTGTTACATAAGTTATTATCATTTGGTCTGCTCAAATCATGCCGTATTCATCTATAATATCTAGTTCTCTTTATTCCCTAGAAATCCATCAAATATAACTTTTGTATTTTCAGCATTATCTTTATTATCATTTACCAAAAAAAACTTTTATGGTAATTTGTATTTTGGATATATCCTTAATTTATCCAAATTTTAAAGGGAGATTTTTATAAATATACCAAATTATATAAGAAATTTGAAAACTACACTAAGTGTTATAGTAATTTGAAAACTACTCTTTTTATATTAAAAATTTACCATAATACCCTTTCTATTAATTTAAGTACTATTTAAATTAATAAATTAAAAATAATATAAAAAATTTTAAATAACTAAAATTCGTTATTATTTATTAATAATAAAAATCAAAAACTTATTTTCAATTTTGGAGTAATCATATATTATCTAAAATTTTGAATAAATCAAAAATAAAAAATATTATTGTTTATAATATTAGTAAGATTTCTAATTTACTTAAAATAAATAATTTCAAACTATATAACTTATAATAAATAAATAAAAAATTCTTCTTATTTTTTGGTAAATTTATTCATTCTATGTTGATTTATTGATAAATTCGATTTTTTTGAACTTTCGACTTATTTTCTACTTTTGTTGACTTAATTTTCTTTTTTGTTGACTTATTTTACAACACTCTACTTATATTTTGACTAGTTGATTTATAAAATAGTCGATTTTTTGAACTACTGACTTATGTATTTTGCTCATTGATTTATAATTTTTTTTGTCGACATGTTAATTCATGGTAGACTTAATTCATTCTATGTTGACTAATTAATAAGATCGATTTTTTGAACTGTTGACTTATATTTCATTTCATTGACTAAATTTATTTTCTATCGACTTATTTTAAAACAGTCGACTTATATTTTGGTTGATTGATATTTGAAATAGTCGACTTTTTTAAACTAATGACTTATTTAATATTACATCGATTTATTGATAAGGTAGATTTGTTGAACTGTTGACTTATATTTTATTTTTATCGACTTAATTTTCTTCTCTATTGACTTATATTAAAACAGCTGATTTGTATTTTGGTTAATGGATTTCTTACATTGTCGATTCTTTTGAACTATTGATTTGTTTTTTTTTTGAATAGAGATAATTATTTTTAGTTATAATATTTAAATTAATAATTTATTTTGGAATTAAATTTAAATTATATAATTTATATTCATAATAAATTTAAAATAAATATAGTGCATATATATATATTATATATCTCAAAAATATTAACTATGAAAAAATCTAAAAAATATTTTTGAATTACATATAATTAAAATTCATAGTTAATATTAAACCAATCATTATCCAAAATATTTACTACATCAACCCAAAATCTAGATTATTTTATTATATGATTAAAAGTCAAAATTTATATCATAATTATTAGTTTAGTTTCATCATTATCTATAATTTTCACAAAATAAAAAAAAAAAAATTTGAGCATATAAATTTTTAATATGAACAGTTTAATTTTGAATTTTAAATAATATTTGTAAAAACTAACTAATCAAATTATTTGATTTTCATTTTCAGAATTCTTAGTTATTAATTAAGGACAAAAATGTCATTTTGAACAAAGAATAAGATACATCTCAAATTGTTAAAAATTATAGTATACATTTCAAATTTCCAATATAATTTAGGGTATACAATCTAATTATTCCAATTTTAAAATTAATTTTCTTCTACTGTTTCTTTATATCCAACGTGAAAATCTATTGACTCAACATAATACACAATTGTCAATTGGTGTTCAACTCTACCAAGAAACATCTATATGTACTTCGCTGTTACCGCCGAGCAATTAAAACCTCTATAAGTACTACTTATAATATAGCTTGCAAATAAAAAAATTTGATTTAAGAAATCCACAGAGAAATTTCCGCCGTCAATGCAAAGCGAATGTGACACTTGGGGAAGCTCTGCGGTCTGTGCATATTTCACTTGTCTAGCTAACCCATTTTCACGTCACGAGACGTCGATAATCAATTACTGTTATTTTCATTTGAGTTCCACTTTTTGAGAATTATATACGAGAAAACATAGACTCGAGATTAGGCAATGGAAGTCCAATCAGACCAATGAGAAGTCGACAACACATCCTAGAAACCAACTCTGGTTTATTTTCATTGCCCAAAACCTGGTTTTAGCTTTCTTTTAAACCGCTATTTCCAAAATATCTTCTCTTTAAATAAAGAGTGAAACAAGCACTCTTTCACATTATTATCATTATAAAGGAAGAAGAAAAACTTTCCTAATTAGATCAAGGCTCATTGTTATCTCTCTTGGTTTGTTTTGTTTTGTTTTTTTTTCATATATAATTTAGTTATTTTACGAGAAATGGGAAGGGGTAGGGTTCAATTGAAGAGGATAGAGAACAAGATCAATAGACAAGTGACATTCTCTAAAAGAAGAGCTGGTCTTTTGAAGAAAGCTCAGGAGATCTCTGTTCTTTGTGATGCCGAGGTTTCCCTTATTGTCTTCTCCCATAAGGGGAAATTGTTCGAGTACACCTCTGAATCTTGGTAATTGCTTAATTCCTTTTTTGTTTTAATCTTATTTTCAGTGTTCCTTTGTTTGCCCTAACTAGTAGTTTTTGCGTTACAATTAAGGCCTTTTCTGGATCTCCTCTTATCTTCTCTTCATGAAAATTTGTCACAGATTTGGTATCTGATTACTTGGATCTATGAACTGATATTGTGTTGGTCAAACCATTAGTTTGTTTTTATTATAAATTTAATATCAAAAGAAAATGAAAATTTTTAGGACTTTTTAGTGAACCCTAGAATACGATCTACTTAATTATCCTGATAGTGGCATGGATTTTTAAGAAATCATCAGAATCTTCTTAATTTAATCTGGATATGTACATTTTGCTTCGAGTCAATGAAGTTTAGTATATTAGTTACATAAAGGACCTTTGCTTATGTTAGACTAGGATTTTTTTGCTTTCAATTTTAGGAAAGCTATCCTTCTGCTTAAATATCTTTAAATAGCATAGTATGAATACAAATTTTGATATGAATAATTCTAGTCTGTCTTATGTACCATAAACAAATTAGTCTAAGAACAATCTTAAGTTTATAAAGAAAAACTCTTCATTTATTTTCCCAATTGGGTTTATAGCTAGGTATAGAGAAACTGGAAAATAAGGATGTGACATCTAAGTATAGGAAGTCTTTGACCTCTGGGGATCAATGTAAAAGAAATCATTCTTTTTTTTTCTAACATCTTCTCCGTACCGGTGGTCAAACTTAACTTCAACAGTTGTTCTTTAAATTTTAAGAAAACTAAATCGAACAAAAAAAAGAATTAATGTATTTTACCTTACATCATTTAATAAATCTTTTTTATATATTTCTAATAAAAATATTTATCGAAGGATTTGAAACTTAAAGCTGGGGTCATAGGGCGCTTCAATACGTCTTGAGAAGTAGGGTTAATGATTCAACTGTTTAAGCATATACAAAAAATGGTAGAATTGTAGAAAACAGTACTGTTTCTGGAGTAAATTCACAAAACTAGAGATCATATCTATTCTATAATAGAAAATAATGTTTAATATGATTACATTGCTAATTAATTAGGTAAACCTTATATGTTATTACCTATTTTGGGTGAATCATTCAATTTGAAACAAATGACCTTTTGTGTTAAGCTAAGAAGCTATATATATATTCGAGTATGCAAACATTGGTGGTTCTATAAATGTAATATGACAGCTTTGTGGGTGAATCGAAACTAATTCTAAGCTTAATATATATAGCATGGAGAAAGTACTCGAACGCTACGAGAGGTATTCGTACGCCGAGAGGCAGCTGATTGCACCTGACTCTCACATTAATGTATGTTTAATATGATCTCCATCATATATTTATGTATATATTGAATCTTGCATGCATTTTTAACTTCATAACATAGCATGTATATAAACTGATTACATGCATACTGGAAATTATTTGTGTAGGCACAGCCGAATTGGTCAATGGAGTATAGCAGGCTTAAGGCTAAGATCGAGCTTTTGGAGAGGAACCAAAGGTACGTTATACATTTAAATTTAATATAGAAATTAAATATTGACATTTAGCAGAAGAGATAATGGTGTTAACTAAATAATCACAGGCATTATCTAGGAGAAGACTTGGAACCAATGAGCCTCAAGGATCTCCAAAATCTGGAGCAGCAGCTTGAGACTGCTCTTAAGCACATTCGCTCCAGAAAAGTATGTAAATATATCCCACACACGATCTCTATGCCTAATTAACTATCTTTGAGTTTGTGTCGATCTATTACATTCAAATATTTTATAGAGGATTCATATGAATAAATAAGCTTTGGACTTTTTGAATGCAGAATCAACTCATGTACGAGTCCCTCAACCACCTCCAAAGAAAGGTAGCTAAGTTAAACTATTTATTATCTCTCAAGTCGTGTGTATATATGAGTGACTTATATGTTAGAGGTAATATATTAGCTAGTGTTTAAGTAATTACTAGATGTATGTTTATATATAGATATAGAAAGAGCGTGATGAAGAGAGAAATTAACAATGGTGTCATTTTTTTTTTTGGAAATGACAGGAGAATGAGATACAGGAGGAAAACAGCATGCTTACCAAACAGGTGATCATTGTTTTTTGCATTTCTAACTGTTTCACAACTATTTACTATTTACGATTCCACTGTTGAACTCCACTTCAATCTCTACCTTAAGCTACCATCTCTCCACTTTCGGCACCAACTCTTTTTGAGTTAAAAGAATTGATAGTTTTCTTTTGATTGGTATAATCATGAGCCTAGCTGCACGTATAGGTGGGCTTTGTCCGTTTAGTATTAAGGTTGTCTCCCAGATTGAACTTGAACATGAACTGTCTTCTCATAATCATAGTCTAGGTGTACTTTACATACACATTACACATTAGCTAGGAGCTCTATTTGAGTTTTATTCAGAAGTAAGCAAACGTACAAAGAAACTACTTGATTAATTAAGAGAACAAATTAAATTAAATAAATCAAAATAGTTTCATTATACGAAGCTAAAATTCGTTTAACATTTTGCAGATTTATTTATTACTTTGCATTTTGTTTGAAAATATCATATCACAAAAAAATAATAATAATAAATATTAGTTTCTTGAATAAATGCAAATAGTTAATTAGTTGCAAATGGGAATCTATAAAAATGATGCCTATATAATTTTTTTGGCGTGTGTAATCGGTATAGATAAAGGAGAGGGAAAACATCCTAAGGACACAACAAACCCAATGTGAGCAGCTGAACCGCAACCACGATGTACCACCGCCGCAACCGCAACCATTTCAACACCCTCATCCTTACATGATCTCTCATCAGACTTCTCCTTTCCTAAATTTGGGGTAACGTACGGTAGTATTTCATTTTTTGAAGTTTTTTGTGTCTATTTTTGTCTTACCATAATTAATGTCAAATTCTCATACATAGTGAAGTGTTGGCAGTCATATAGGCAATGATAGTGAATGCATTTCATATTTAGGGTTGTGTTAGGTGTGGCGTTAGAGGTTGATGACTTTATAACCACAAGTCCAAAACTATGCAATATGTACGGATTGATGGTATGCATGCATATTATTGTCTTATGTTTTGAATTTGTTATATGATTGTGATTTCAGTGGCATGTACCAAGGAGAAGATCAAACGGCGATGAGGAGGAACAATCTGGATCTGACTCTTGAACCCATTTACAATTACCTTGGCTGTTACGCCGCTTGAATAGACTACATCGATCTATCAATCAATTTAAAATAATATAAGATCGATCTATAAACTCATGATCTATAAACACCGGTTAATTAGTATAGTTTTGGCATGTCCTTATTTCATATCAACATCATCAAAAGCCTTTTTCCCTTTCAAAATTCTTGTATTTCGGGGAGCAATAAATTTATTATTTGGGGACTGAGAGAGCTAGAGAGAATTATTGTATCAAACCTTTTCTATATTAATCTCATGGTTATATTGTAATCTGAATTCTTTAACAAAACAATATATATATATATATATATATATATATATATATATATATATTTTGAATAACCACGGGTTTCCCAAAGGCTTCTTAGGCCCAAGGACTAATCCCACGAGGCTGACAATTCTCCTATGTAAAACAATATATATTGTAATACGAATTTAATATTTAATTATTTGAACTTACTTGATCAAAGTAAATCAAAACCTTATATAGAAGGTAACAATTTCAAATAAAAATGTTTTATTACTTGATTAAAGAACTTTGTTTTCCACTTGTAAGTTTTAAAACATCGAGAAATTGAAAATAATATCATAAAATAACATTTGATATCGTCCGATCAAATTTTATACCATAGAGATTGAAACGAAAAATGTCTACTTTTATTTACTGGTAAATTTATACAGTAACCATACAACATTTAACTCGTACTATAAAAAGCGTGAATGATACGATCAGAAAAGAGAAGTATTGGGCCCTTGTGGGCTTCATCATTAGCTCATCGTTTAAGCCCATATTACTTAGCATCTTGTCTTTGATCCCTCTGCGTCATTTAGAAGGTCTCACACTTTTGGATTTCGTTTTAGTTTTCGCCAAAGAAACTGTATAAAACAGATCGGAGAAGAAAAGAGAAATAGTAGTTGCGGCAATGGAGGATCTATGGAAGAGAGCCAAATCGTTCGCAGAAGAAGCGGGTAAGAAATCTCAGAACATCACCCAATCATCCTCCGCGACGTTCGTCAATCTCGTCACCGAGACTGCTAAGAAATCCAAGGAACTCGCTCTCGAAGCTTCTAAGAAAGCCGATCAACTCAATGTTTCCGATTTCGTTGCCGAAACGGCTAAAAAATCTAAAGAATTCGCTGCCGAAGCTTCAAAGAAGGCGGATCAGTTCAAAGTCGCCGCGCTGAAGCAAGCTGATCAGATCCAGAACATCAAATCGATCGCTGATATTATCGGGTCCGGGTCAGGATCAGGATCCGGTTCCGAAGCAGAGCTTCTCGAATTCGGTGTAACGGATGATTTGAGAGAGTTCGTTGAAGGCTTGACCTCTGCTACATTCCAAGCTTTTCCTGAACAAGGTATTTGTTGATTTTGTTTCTATTTTGGCTCTGCGTTTCGCTGAATGTGAAATACTTGGATAGATCAACCAGATGAAGTTGCTGATGTGACAACGAATTCTTCGAATGTTCGAAAGGATCTATCGGATTGGCAAGAGAGACATGCCACTCTCGTTCTAACCTCTGTCAAGGTAGTGTCTACTCTAGGAATCTAGGTAGCTGAGTTTCATCCTTTTTATTTACTTTCATTTGTTGTTGTTACAATGTATGTACATTGCATTTTGTTGCAGCAAATCTCCAAGTTAAGATACGAACTTTGCCCGCGATTCATGAAAGAAAGGAGGTTCTGGAGGATATATTTCACACTAGTGAGCACTCATGTTTCACCGTAAGTCTTTTACCATCTCTTCCATAAATTTATGAGTTTAGTAGAGATAGGATCCAAATCAAGGAATTGAGTTATGGGTGGACAAAGGAGTCTGATGATGCATTTAGAAGATTGTGATGTGAAAGAATGTCATTAGCTTAAAGACTTATATCTATAGTTTGATTTCAACAGTCCTTCATGTAACGGATAGCAATTTAGTGACCCACATATCTCATCGATATGATATGGTATCCTGGTCGTTGGCTTGTTCTGAGGCATTCTTTTTGTAATGACTTTACTCAGATATGAGAGGAGGTACATGGAGGCACTTAAGACCAAAGCAGAACATGAAAGTGAAGAAGCTAAGAATGCCCCAGTGACTGGAGAGACAGAAACAGTGGAAAAGAATGTTGCAATCAGTAGAACATCTACTGCGACTTCTGAGCAGGATCTGGATACATTCCTTTTGGGAGATCTCGAAGACAGTGATGGAACTCCAGGTGATAATTTTCTCTTCTCTGCTACCTACTTTTGACTGTGTTTTTGGTTATCTTCCTCTTGTATCTACATCACTATTTTCATCATTATAAGCGCATATCAAGTTGTTTGGATCAGCCTAGGCTTGAATTTGGTGTTGCGTATACTGTGTCTCTAGTTCAGTTTAGCAAGATGTATAATCTATTAATTTGTGTTTAACCCCTTCCAGATGATGGTGATGGAAGCCTTGAGGATGACTTTGACAAGATTGAAAACTCAGTAAGCACCCTTTTACATTTCCGCTGAAAGTAGAATTTGTTGTTCATGAATTCGGACTAAAGAACTCCATGCGCTGCATGTTTACAGGATGTTGAAGACGAGAAGCAATCAACTAAAGCTACAACAAATGCAGGAAACTAAGCGTCTTGTTAGTTTAACATCCAATTAGAAAAAGGTAAATGAAGACGATGCTTGAAATGTATAGTTTTGATTTAGTAAGGGACGCATAAGAAGACCGCGATTTCGTATAGTAATTAATTTGTTTTGCCAAACAGTCCTTTAGTTCGTTTTGTACAGCACTGCTACCAATAAGTAGTCAATTACTTTAACTCTAAACTTGTCTAATCTTTTAGGTTCACCCATCACAAATTCACAATGAAATCTATTCATGCTTTTCCAAATCTCGGTGCAGTTTGAAATCTCCTTAGTAGTGCATTCATTATAGGTTTATGAAGGAGTGTTGACGCCAACGTTGTATCTGGCTCAAACCACAATCTCAATTTTATATCTCAGTTTATTTCATATAGCTGCATTTTTGAGTTTATTATGCCTTGTGACAATCGTTGGCGTTTGGTAAAACGAAAGAGTGAAGATATTCTACCCCATGAAAACTCTAAACCCAAGACAAACACTAATTCTTTCTCAGCAAGGAACTCAATTGTTTTAGTTGTAGACAATTATGGTGCTGTGTATGAGAATGAACATCTAAACAATGGCCATGCGTGAGTAAAAAAACAAGAGGCAGTACAGCCAACGGATAGCCCCGCCCATAGAGAGAACGTTTTGTCAGACGAAGAAACGACCAATTCTCGTTATCCCTCTAATATTATTATTCGTTTTATATTATATAAATATATAGTAGGACTAGGCCTGGGCATTCGGATTTCAAATCGGATTCGGATCGGATATATTCGGATTCGGATAATTCGGGAATGAGAGTTTATTATCCGTTCGGATTTTATGATTTTTCGGTTCGGTTTCGGTTCGGATATATTCGGATTCAGATAATTTGGGTAGGAGAATTTATTATCCGTTCGGATTTTATGAGTCATCGGTTCGGATAGGTGTCGGATTCGGATCGGTTTTTGGGAAAAAAAAACTTAAAAATAGTTCAATGTTAATAAAAATTGGTTTAATCTTACTAAAATTTGGTTAAATTTTGCAAAAATATGTATAATTTTAACAAAGATAACTGAAATTTTTCCAAAATCTAGGATATTTAGGATATTTTTGTTATTTGCTATAAAATTACAACTAAATATAACTAATATTTTTGGATATATAATTTTTATTTCCGGTTTTCGGATATCCTTTCGGTTTTCGGTTCGGATCGGGTTCGGTTCGGATAATTCGGATAGGAAAATTCATTATCCGTTCGGATTTTGTGACTATTCGGTTCGGATTCGGTTCCGGATTTTTCGGATCGGTTTCGGATCGGTTTTCGGATTTCGGGTTTTATGTCCAGGCCTAAGTAGGACAATGTATAAAGAACAAAAAGTGTATAAAAAGCGAAGACGGTCTACATCATTTCGGGAAAATATTCCACATGGTTTCATCACGAAACTAGGGGTACCTTTACATTACATACATTGCTGACACATAATCAACAAAGACAATTTGTTATGTCAAATATTTCGTCATTATTTTATCTAAAATTTACCCAGATTGACACAAATCTGGAGATTAATAACTAGATTAACACTCTAGTTTTGGAGTTTACTAGAATAACACAAATTTGTGTAAAATTACTAAAAACCCATTTTAATTATATTAGGCTCAAAAAAAAAATCAAACAAAAAACAAAAAAAAAAACAGAAAAACAATTTAACCCTAATGTTTTTATTAATCGTCGACTTCAACTTTTTTTTCTCTGTTTCAGCAGACAAAACCACTCTCAGAAACCGCATTAGTTCTCCCACTCCGACAAATACACGAATCCAGCAGCCAATTGAAATCGCCGACTCCGACGAAGACACTAATCCGCCGCCAATTGACTACCACCGCTGATTCGAAGTGAACAGCCACAGACGCCGCCGCCAATTGTTGTGGTTGCGCTGGACTTTTCCGAGTCTCCGGTGGTTCTTCTATTTTACGGTTTCTTCGGTGTCATTGTCACGACTTCTTCTCCGGTGACTCACCAAATTCCTCAATTTTGTTTGCCACCGCCGCTTTAGTATCCGTGGGTCTATTTTCAAAGTCTCTTCCCATTGTCCTCTGTTCCTTCTTTTTCCCGTGGGTCTATTAGCATCACTGTTGCTGTTCTTCATCCATCGGCTACGTCTTTCTCCTCAATTGTACATCGGTGAGTTTAATCTGGACTTTTAGGGGTCAAATTTGGACTATGATTTGTTGTTTTGATTGGTTACTCATTTATTGTTGCAGATCTTACTCTCCACTAGCCATTGTGAGTCCGTTCATCATAATTTTCGTAAGGTATGTGGCCAAATTCTTCGGATTTGTTTTAGGAAAAAAATTCTTGCCAATAAATTCTTGCCAATACGATTTTATTCATATGAAAATTGGTTGTAGTTGCCATAGTTTTGTCCTATTTTAGAGAGTAAGTGTCAGACTTTTGGATAAAGTAAGTAGTTTCTTAAGTGTTTTGGTTTTGATGGTATTTAAATTGATCATGTTTTACTTGTTATATGCTGATTCAAGATTTTGTTAACGTTTTGGCATGATTTTTAAGCATATTTACGAGCGTTTGCTTCTAGATTAATACATTGTACAAACATATTTTTTCTTTGGTAACTTGCTTTCTATGGTATCAAAAACATGTCTCAGCTAGGAATTATATGGTTGCAATGCTTTTGTTTTCATTACTACCATAGCTATAAGGAACTTAACCTAAATAGAAAATTGTGAACAAAGTGGAAGTTATGAGTTTGAATAAATAACATTGTCAATTTTCTCATGTATTTCAAGATTTTTTTTAATGTTTTGGCATGATTTTAAGCTGATTTTGTTGATCCTCTTATATGCTATTAGTTTATTAGCTACATCTGTTGATCTTGAAATGAAAAATGATCGTTATAGCCACTGTTATTGTGATCCAATGTTAGAGATTTAGTGACAGCTTTTTGGATAAATTCATTTGGTATTAATTAGTTTAACATCAGATTTGTTTTTCTTCTTCTTCTTTTTGAATTACCTCAGTTTCTATGATACAATCGGATTCTTTAGTGAAATGGTGCTCTTTTCTGCCACAGGTCTAGGACGTGCAAGCCTCAGGAACTGAAACTTGAAGGCTTGAGTTTTAGCGAACACTCAATACCTTCTGGTAATGTGAAGTTTATCTAAGTGATTAACCTTTTTTACATATTGAATAGCTACTTTTGTTGATTTCTCATTGTTCTTTTGCTGCATTGCATAGATTTGTGGATCATAAATGACATATTTTTTTCGATTAATTCATTAGTGACCATCTTTTTGTCCCAATTTAGAGATTAGGTTGTCTTAGAAAATCTGGATTAATTCATTAGTTACTAACAGATTGTCTGATTCTCTTCTTCTTTTATATGCTGCTTTAAGATTTAGTCAATGTTTATGAATGTTTAAGACTTAATGTCATACACATGTATTCACATATGAAGTTTTAAATTGTTTATTAGCTGATTGTATTAATCCTCTTATATGCTGATTTATTATTTTAATAATCTTCAGGAATGGCGTCTTCGAGTAATGTCTTCAAATATCCTCCTCGTCTTTATGCAGAAGGAAAATCACCTTTGCAACATAGAAGCATGAACCACAATTGTTATCTGTCCAAGATTGGTCAAATCAGAGAAGGATTAGGTATTGATGTGTGGGATGAATTGGAGAAGTCATCACTAGGTGTGTTTATCAAGCTAGCTGAACTAGAGTACACATGGGCTGCCAAAAAAGTACATCTATTCCTCACAAATCAGTTGAAAGTGGATAACTTTCATGAGATATGGTCTATGATTGATGGTAGACCAATCCGGTTCTCCTTAAATGAGTTTGCTGCTATAACAGGACTGAATTGCGATCCATTTGACCCGTCGGAAAAGTTTGAAGCTGATCACCGTGAGCTATGGGAGGCAATGAAAGTACCAATCTCAGAAGGTTCAAAGTTCAATGAGTTGCGAACTGTGATGGATCTTAGCAAGGCATGGGACTTAAAGGAGAGGATGATGGTGGGTAGGTTGTGTTTATTATCAGTGGCAATACATGGAGTGCACCACGGATCTAGATTTCCTTTGTCTAGTGCTATAAGAGTTCTTGATCCAGTGAGTTTTGAGAAATATCCGTGGGGACGAGTGGCTTTTGAATGTCTACTTAAATCGGTTAAGACAGTTGACTTTAACAAAGATGGTTATGTTATTAAAGGATGCGTTCACGCTTTGCTTATGTGGGTGTATGAGAGTTTCCCTGGATTAGGAGAGGGTTATGGGTTGAGAAGGCCTATCTTGACTGGTATTCCACTTCTTGATTGGCAGTCAACTCGGAAGGATATCGACCTAACAGAATTCATTAAAAACGAGAAGAAGCTGCATGGGCAGGTTAGTTTTTGATCTTTTAAATGTTGTGTCTTTATGTATCAAAGCAGTAACTTCTTTATGTGTCTTTTTCATGTACTTTCTCTACAATGTGAAATTTAGAATGTGAAATTATTGAAGTGTTATGACTGTTATACACACACTGAACGTGCAGTCTTATTTTTTTTTAAGTGTCATGGCAACACTAACCTATTAATTTAAACTGCAGTTTTTATTTCATTGGTGGTGCTGTTTTATTTAACATTTTATATGTTGTATATAGGTGCGTGTAAGACACATGCAAAAGGTTGAAAAAAGATTAAGAGTTTAGTTTAATCGTTTCAGGTTTTTTTTTATTCTAATCGGTTTTCATTTTAATGTAGCATATGGGTGCTGCGATGGCTATGTTCCGCAAAAGGTTGATGCGTAAGCCTTCAGCGTACCCAAATCAACGAATAACTTTCTTGGACCAAGACATGATGAGGGAGCTGGCTAGAGATTATGAGCACTTTTCTGGAGGACGTAGGAGCTTCAAGTTCAGGGACTATTTTGAGGAACACCTCAACGGGACAGCTCCTACTGAATCAGCTACTTACAAGAAGTGGTTCATCGATGTTGATCATCTTTATGCTTGCCTCTTTATCAATGGTGATCATTGGGTTGCTCTTGATATTGACTTGCGTGTGAGGAGGATTAACATCTACGATAGCATCCCACACTTGACCACTGATCCTGAAATGGCGAAACAATGCATGTTTTTGCGGTTGATGATCCCTGCCATGATGAGTGCTTTCGTACCTATCAACATACGTAAGAAGAGTAATGCAATGTTGGACGTGAAAAAGATTACAAAGAAGGTACCTTTGAATAAAGATCCCGGCGATTGTGCTATCTACACACTCAAATACATCGAGTGTTTGGCTCTTGGGAAATCATTCGATGGGATTTGCGATGAAAACATAAATGCCATACGTGTTAAACTTGCAGCGGAGCTATTTGATGAAGTGAGAGAGGCAGCCAAACCATCCGGTAAATTCTGAGACAACATCTTCGAAATCTTGTAACTCAACACAACATCACAGCCTCTATTCTCGATTCCGTAATCCTCCATTACCATTCGAATGCATTGAGAGTAACTGGTTTCCCTATTAGCTTCCAGAACTCGACATCCTCTATTTGTATCAATGATGAACGACCATGTGTTGTTCTCGAAAATCCATTTGCCACATACGAGAATCACCGGATCCATCTCCAACCCTTTCTTTTGAGACATCATGGTGAATTTCAAAAACCCTACATAAACGATAGATAGAGAAACGAGATAGAGAAACGGTTTATTTGTATGAACTTTTGTTGGCTGTCGTCCAAGAGGTAGAGAAACGGTTAGGATAGCACAAAACCCTAGAAAAATATGGTAAGTTAGATTATCTCGTCATTTATTATTTTTCAGTTATGGAAATTCAAAACAAAAAAGTCTGTCGTGTTTAAAAAGTCTGTCATGTAGTCCATCATGAAAAGTCTGTCATCAAATATGTATAAAAAATCTGTCATAACATGAATAAAAATTAAAATCTGTCATTGCATAAAACATATCTGTCATCACTATACGAAGTCATTCCAGCAATTTCTTTTTTCATCACTAAATCTGTCGTAATGTGACAGTTTTCTTTGAACTAATCCTAAATCTGTCATAATGTAAATAAAATCTGTCATCACAGAAATATTTCATTAGCGATTGTAAGTCAATCTAGCAATTTTTTTTTTTAATGACAAATCTGCTATCACTTGACAGTTTTTTTTGTTTTAAAAAAAAAACTGTCATAACATAAAAAAAATCTGTTATCACTACTAAGTCATTCTAGTAATTAGAGGTAATTATTTTTCCAAAAACAAATCTGTCACTTGATGACAGATATTTTTATGAAAATTAAAAGTCTGAGGCCACTATGATCATAAATCTGCCACTAATTTTAATAAATCTGTCAAAGTGATGCAAGTCTGTGGTGTTAAATTAAGTTTGCCACAACCTGTTAAATTAAGTCTGTGAGAGATAAAAAATCTGTCACAAAAAATCTGTCGTTGATAAATAAGTCTGCCATTTAAAATAAATCTGTCATAACGAACCCAGCAGACTTTTCAAAAACCAAAAAAATTTCCTAAATTTTTTCTGACGTTTTTCGAAAAATTTTAGGGGTAAATTTGACTTTTTTTTTTTCCTAACAAAGAGAGCAAGGGTATTATCGTCATAAAAATAACCAGTCTAACCCCCATATTTTATGAGACATTCTAGTAATTAAAGTCATTATTTGGGTCAATCTAGTAAGTTTCCCTTATTTTATTCCCAGAGAAAAAGAAGAAGATTATGAAAATATGATTGACAATTGACAATAAAACAAAAAAATTTGCCAAGATTGTTATCAAACGACAAATATAGTTTGATTGAATTCCTTGGTAAAATTATGAAAACTAGGTGAGATAATTTTATACTTTAATTCGCCGAAAAGAGTTTTGTTGGAGTTCCATAAGGAAAAAAACTTTTTCCTACAACTAAAAAAGTTCATGAGTTTCTTCCAAGGGTAATATTACTAACTAGCCAAATTTGACACATAAATTAAGAAACTAGCAGAGAGAGAAAATTCTGTCGGAAAACAGCATGGACCCACCTTGTCTGAAGAGGTAAAATAACAAAACCATCCTCCGTTTGTTTTGAGATCTACAGTAGGCGACATTGTTTCGTGATATTTTTCAAAATAGCACGTAAGATCTAAATTTCACATGTTATATTTAACTAAAATACATGCTATTTAAAAAAACGTAGTGAATTTTTAAGAAAAAACATTGTTACGTAGTGTTTTTTTTTTTAAAAAACATTGTTACGGAAAAATTAAACTTGAATAGAATCTTTTTATAAAGAAATAACATGTGATCTTAATAAAAACCGTGAATTACTAGAAAATAAGAATCGTTTTTTAAAGAAATTACATGTGATCATAATAAAAAACGTGTATTACTACAAAATAACATGATAGCAAAAGATATTAAACTGAATAGAGTGTTTTTTCAAAGAAATAACATGTGATCTTAATAAAAACTGTGAATTACTAGAAAATAAGAATATTTTTATAAAGAAAATCACATGTGATCATAATAAAAAACGTGTATTACTATAAAATAACATGATAGAGAAAGATATTAAACTGAATAGAGTGTTTTTTCAAAAAATATCATGTGCTCTTTATAAATAACGTGTAAAACCGGAAAATAATATGATAAAAAGAGATATATTATTCTATCACATGTAATTCGAGAAAAAAACATGTTATAAAGAGCATGTGTGTAATTTCACGTGCTTTCCGACATCCAACAGACAAAGTACTGTAGCTCATGACTATTTTCTTAATTCTTTTTGAATCCATGGCTATTTACTATAAATTCTCTTTTTCGAAAAGGTTTCAGACGACCTCAATTAAACTTTTCGATTTAAGGTGTATATAGTAATTAAAATGAGAAAGTGGAAGAAAAGTTTCTTAAAAATACTCAATAATTCATATCAAAAACAATATAAAGTATTTTGATAACCATCCTCATCAGATAGCCGTTGGTGATGGCATTTAATTTAAAGATTAACTAGTATTTAAAATGGTATAGCCGTTTAGTACACTAATATTGTATTAATTAGACATCAATCTATAAGAGAAAAAAAAAACAAAATCTAGAGAGGGACAGAGCCAAAAACCCATGGCTTATTATAGGTTCAACTACCATAGCATCCCTAACTATATTTCATTAATTATCACGATTAACAAAACCGAAAATTTTGGGCACTATGATATTTTTACTTGGTACATTAAAATAGTTTGGTGATTAAACAAAAAAATATGGGTACTATAGTAATAAGAGAGTGTGTTGCATGAGACTTTGATGAGCACGAGATACATAATGACACGTGAGGGGATAAGATCGTCGTATAGCTCCCAACCAACCACTGAATCACTTTCACGTTCACCAGTCCTCTGGATTTAGTCGCCTGCACGACCTTTAAAAAAATAAAAAATAACTACTACAGATCTGCACGATTCTAGAATCTAATTTTGTATGCTTGTAAATAAAAGTGAATTATTAATTCATGTTTATAACAGTTTTAAATTTCATAATCGTCATTTTATTATTATTAAAAGGGAAATGTAGATTTGGAGCACTAGTTTTCTATATTTTTGCAGCCTCCTTTAAACTTCATTCGTCTATATCCCAAATTTCAGAGTCGAGTAACATTGACTCACATCCCTTACCTATAATATTCTTACTAATGTATATAGTTTTCTGCTAGAATAATTTTTGACAAAATTTAATATTATATGCAGGCCTATCTCAGAGAAGGTGTTCACATGTGTAATTGTGTATTATCATAGAATCCGTAACAAAATACGTCTATACTTTAAGCCCTACTAAATATATATATATATACACAAATAGTCAATAATATATTTACACTGAACATGACATATACCATATTTAAATGTGATTGAGCCGGCCTTGATCATATGACAAACAATCCTTAGAAAGTTTAAATAAATTTTATGACTACCATAATAATATTCGAATATGATACATAAGAAAACAGTAAACAAATTCTACGGACAAAATAAAAAAATAAGAATGAAAAACCATTTGGCTTCTGTCAAGCACAAATTTTTAAGGCAGATTCAAAGTATATATCAAACTCAAAATTTCAAAATAAATATTGATGATACGCCTGCAGACGAATAAACAAACATTTGATGGATTTGCTTATATCGGAAAATATCTATCACGGCCGTTGACCACTCGGCACCTATACTACATCGTGCATAAACATGATGGTTTACAAAAATATTGGTGATTTAAAATATTTTTTGATGATTTTTGTGGTTGAGGTATACTTAATATGGGATCATTTCGTCAATGAATCATCTATATTCTCACACATATTATATGTTTAATGATTTAATCATAGAAGGATTGATGATACTTTTGAAGTTAAAATCTTGATTTTTTTTTTTTTGAATTTTGCAAAAAGATTTGAACGAGTGATAGAAAACGACATCTTATCCTAGAACTAAGCGGATATTTGATTAATGAGTGAAAGATTCTTTATAAATAATACTTTTTTAGGGAATCTTAAATACTACAAAAATTATTATATAACTATCAAAATTTTGTGTTTACAGAAGCTTCAAATACTATTAATTTACCGGAAATGTGGAATTTATATATTTCTAGAAGTTTTTTTTTGCTCGTCATTTATTTGTTTCTTTCTATCTTGATTCCGAATTTAATGTTGATAAAACATATAAAGTCTTTTTATATACTAAATCGATGAGGATGAAACTTGTTTTACCATATACTCATTTTGTATTACTTGAAGTGATGTTTTAGCCAAAAAGTTTTGTTTAATTTTTAAGTGATGTTTTCAACTTTCTATGTAAAAGTTAAAAATGTATTTAATTTTTTTTGTACAATCATATTTTATAGTATATTTTCCTATTGGCTGAATTCATTGTATTTAATTATGTTTTTATGTAAAAGAGATAAAGTAAATGATAATTGAGAATATGCATAAAATAGCCAAATTTTTGAGGATAATTAACAAACTAACAATATGCTACAGTAACTTGTCCGAACTATGTCGGAGAGCTTGCATAATTACGTATATGTCCTTTATAACACGTTTTTTTTCTCGAATTACATCTGATAGCATAATATATCTCTTTTGATCATGTATTTTTCTCGTATTACATGTTATTTATAAAGAACATATGGTATTTCTTGGAAAAAACATTCTATTCAGTTTAATATCTCTCTTTATCATGTTATTTTGTAATAATACACATTTTTTATTAAGATCACATGTGTTTTCTTTTAAAAAAAAATTATTATTTTTTAGTATTACATGACTTTTATTAATATTACATGTGATTTCTTTTAAAAAAAGATTATATTCAGATTAAATTTTCCATAACAATGTTTTTTCTTAAAAAAAAAACACTACATAACAATGTTTTTTCTTAAAAATTCACTATGTTTTTTAAAATATCATGTCTTTTAGTTAAATATAACATGTGAAATTTAAATGTTACATTCTATTTTAAAAAAGCTCACGAAACTTTCTCGCATATCGTTGTTCTTGTAACAAGCAAAAGATAATGTTGGTATTTCACTTTTCTGACAACGTGGGTCCATGGCTATTTTGCAACAAACCTTCTCTCTGTTAACGTATCGATACGGTAACGCAAAACCAAACGTTGAGTGGAAGTTGGGTCATTCAGGTTCGACCCTTGGATGAAGGAGATTTGGCCTACAACATCTAGATCATTTGAAAAGAGTTAAGATCATAGTTCAAGTTTAAAAACTGTGGGAAATCTGAAGGGAGAATTTTACCAGGAAGTTCAATGTTGGTGTTAGCTAGAGCTTGTAGGTTGTCAAAATTACGTAGCATGAATTGTTCCCGTTCAATTGTAGGGCCAACATCTGAAAGTTCTACAGTCGTTGTGGCAGGGAGAAAACGTAGGAGAAAAGGATGGTCAGTGATCTTGTAGAGTTTTGTGCACCGTCCCACTTCAAACCCGCTAATATTGTAGATAGAACCTTCACGCAAAACTTGACGGAATTGAGAGACAAGAGCTGCTGGGATAAAAGCATGGATTACTGAGCACTGTAAGAAAGAAATTTAAGGGTTAGATGGCCTTCAATTATATATGAGACAAAAATACATCTAAGTAGATTTACTTTTTCATCGAGTAAAAGGAGGACTATCCCCATGAATTGACCATCTTTCTTGATGTTGCGAGCATCCCAAAAACGAAGTAGACGACCAACAACCTGTTGAGTAGAGCGACCAAGACGTAAATCATCAAAAGCAACATAGTTTGCATTAGTAGGAATTGGAACAACATCAACTGCAGCCATTTTCAGAGTGTATCGAAGTTTTTGTGATGGAAAGTGGAATTAGTGTTTGGGGATGGTGGGTGATGATGAATTTATAGTAGTTTAGAGGGAGATCTATAGGCAACTTATGATTTACTCCAATTACAGTTTCGTTTCGAAAATTAAACTCATGAATTAAGTAGAAAGTAGTGGAATTGGAACGAATTAAGACATGTATTTAAGTACCTTAGTTGTGATTAGGTGTTGATGTTTGAGATTCTTGTCGGTGAAGTTTATCGACAACGGCAGCGTCGAAGAAAACAGTTGTCTCGAGAAGATGAGTTGGAGAGTAGAGAGAAATACATGAAGAAACGGATCTTAGGCCCATTACTTTAGAAGATGCTTTAGTAGGCCCATTATGAAGAAAAGGAACGTGTATTCATTTGCAATCGTTGACAAAAAATGCTTAATATAATACTGTGGGGTCCACCAAAAATAGTGTAGTGACGTGGATGCTCTTAGAGGAGAGAAAACTGCGCTATTATATATATGATTCCAGTGTTTTATTTGGCTATTAATTAATATTACCCATGATAATTATGTGTTTTCTTAATTTGTGTGTAGAAAAATCTTAAATCACTAGTGACTATACACATTTTAATTTTACAATACTTTTCCACTTTTTGTGCCAATCAGGATTTTTTGTTTCCTCTTTTTTTTTTTTGATAACCCAGTATCCAGACCACACAGTGATCTGACTAGCCCACTGGGCCTAAGCCCGCGTCACAGGGATTTTTAAGCCTCCACTTAAGGGCCCCCTGATAAACTGGTGGTCTGGGGCGTCTGAGCAAATCCGCATGTAAATTCTCAGGTGGCCACAGGAGTGAGAGAGCGAAACTGCGTCTAGGGAGGATCGATCCCTGGTCTAGACCAACAGGGCGATCTTTCCAACCAAACGAGAACCACTCTCCCACCACCATGTGGCAAGTCCTCTTTGTTAAAGCAATCAGGTTTTAAGGATGCATGTAAATCTATAAATTCATTTATATAACAATTTCACACGTAAGAGATCTTTTTAACACCATTGGAAAACAGGTTCACATGATAAAATGTCGGGCCAAGTCTAACCACTTGTTCGTAACATTTTTCAGTAGACCCATGTAATGGTTTTTTTTTTTTTTTTTATGTAATGTTTTATTAGTTTACAATGAATACAAATGTCAATCACGAAGTAAAATTGTATGAAATAAATCCAAAAAAACATTTCGAATTGCATATATAAAATGCAAAGCCTCCTTTCAATGATTACTAGGTAAAATGTTTCTCTAATACATTTGTCTCTAGCTACTCTAATGATGAAGTATTAGATAACGACGTTTCTAAAATTAAAGCGATCATATGATGATTATGATCTTGCTTAAACCATTTCGATTATACATAAATTTTAGATATGTCAAAATCACTTGGAGAATACGTCAGTCAACTTGGGATGTCGGCATCATCAATAACACACACTTGTATGAATATTTCCAAATTTGGTAACATAATTTTGGGTCCTCTCAGATAAGGGTAGTTTTGGTAATTCGTAATAATGATGTTTACCTTTAATCCTATAACTTGATTAAGATGTTTGTTTGACCGAGCCACGTCAAAGCTCTAATCCCCTTTAAATGTCCACGTCATCATTCTAGTCCCCCTAAAAGCCGGTGCTATCCAACGTCCCTCATTGCGCCAACAGTATTTCAAGAGAATCAACGGCTACGATATTCCGTTCTAGACCCTTCCAAAAATTACGAAGCAAGAGAGAAAGAGCACAAATCTTTTTACTTAGCCTGATTTTCTCTTGGAGACATTTAACCATGGTTAGTTTTTAACCACTTGCTTGGGTTAAGCGGTGAGAGGGGTGGTTAAATGTCTGAGTAAGTGGTGAGAGAGAAAGAGGTAGGAAGAGAAAAAAAAAACAGCTTCTTCTTCAAAGCGAGACCTATCTGAGTCGACTCGTAACGAGTTGATTTCTTTTGTTTTCTTCTCTACTGGTTTCGCTTTTCGAGCTTCTCGTCTCTGTTGATCGTTAAATCTAGCTCATTGATCCGATATCGATTGTTTTCTCTCTCGCCGGCGCGTCATTGTCATACGTCGTCCGAGTCTGGTGAGTCTTCAATGTTTCTGTAGATTGTGTTGTTCTCTTGAGAAAAAATGGAGTTTCGACGATGTTTCTCAATACGTTCTTCGTCTGTTTGTTTCCTGATCAGAGATTGCAGTTGATTCTTCAAATCTCATATCGAGCATACGTTTTTCGTATTAGTTCAATGTTGTTGAGTTTAGCTAGAGCAAGCTGGATTAAGAACATGAATCTCAGAAGTTAGATATCTCCAAATGCTTTTGTTGCTTCCATTTGCTAGTTTTAGACGAATTGTTAGTTTTAGGGATCTACGTTGGACTTAACGTTTTGGTTTTGTGTTCTTACTCACGTTCGATTCAATTACTCTCTGTGCAGATTGTTATGTTCCTGTCATCTAAGTTTTAACTATGGAAGCTCGTCGTGGATTCTAATTCAATATTGAGTTCGAGGATTGGTTCGGTTGTACTGCTTAAAGAGTTCTATCATTTCAACTTCTGGTCTTGGATTTAGTTATCTGTCCTAAAGGTGGGAAGAAACTATCTTGTGCAGCCATCTTCGACTGTTTGTCGCTAAGGCTGTGTTTTTTTTGTCTGACTTGATCTCCACACTCATGTCACGTAAGCTTGACAGTCCTGTTCAGACACAAATGGCAGTGGCACTGGTAAAGAGCCCCCTGAGCGGGGAATTTCGTGAATTTAACAAGGTTGGAATGAAGTCACCTGTGGGTCGTAGGCGGGTTTTTGTCCAAACGGAGACTGGTTGTGTACTGGGGTTGGAGTTGGATCGTAGTGATAACGCGCACACTGTGAAAAGGAAGTTGCAGGTTGCTCTTAATTTCCCCATTGAGGAAAGCTCGTTGACCTTTGGGGATTTGGTGCTTAAAAATGATCTTACAGCTGTTAGAAGTGATGCTCCTCTTCTTCTAACTCGGAACAACTTTCATAGGAGTTCATCGACTCCATGTCTTTCCCCAATGAGGGCTGACCTTCAGCAGCGTAGAGATGAGAGCAGTCCTGTTGAAATTCTTGGGAACTCTGTTTCTTTCTCTTTCGTGAGGCAAATGGCGAAGGATATTACAAAAGCAGTGAAGAGGGGCATTGATCCAGTTGCTGTTCATAGTGGGCTTGGAGGGGCCTATTACTTCAAGAACAGCCGCGGTGAGAGTGTTGCAATTGTTAAACCAACTGATGAGGAGCCTTTTGCTCCTAATAACCCGAAAGGTTTTGTTGGTAAGGCGCTTGGACAACCTGGGTTGAAGCGTTCGGTGCGGGTTGGGGAAACAGGCTACAGAGAAGTTGCGGCTTATCTTCTTGACAAGGAGCATTTTGCAAATGTTCCTCCCACTGCTCTTGTGAAGATTACTCACTCTATCTTTAATGTCAACGATGGAGTGAAGGCAAGCAAGCCTATGGAGAAGATGTTGGTGAGCAAGATTGCATCCTTGCAGCAGTTCATACCTCATGATTATGATGCTAGCGAGCACGGAACATCCAATTTCCCTGTTTCAGCTGTTCACCGTATAGGGATTCTTGACATCAGAATCTTAAATACAGACAGGCACTCTGGGAACCTTCTGGTTAGGAAACTGGATGGTGATGGAATGTTTGGCCAGGTGGAGCTAGTTCCAATCGATCATGGTCTTTGCTTGCCTGAAACTCTAGAAGACCCTTACTTTGAGTGGATTCATTGGCCACATGCATCGATCCCATTCTCTGAAGATGAGCTGAAGTACATTGCGAATCTGGATCCCTTTGGAGATTGTGAGATGCTACGGAGGGAACTTCCAATGGTACGAGAGGCCAGTCTCCGTGTTCTAGTTCTCTGCACAATTTTTCTCAAGGAAGCTGCTGCTGATGGCCTATGTTTGGCTGAAATTGGTGAGATGATGACTAGAGAGGTTCGTCCTGGAGATGAGGAGCCGAGTGAGATTGAAGTGGTTTGTCTTGAGGCTATGAGTTTGATAGGAGAGAAGGACGCCGAGTCCCCAAGATCAGACTTGGGAAGTGAATCAAGTGATGTTGAATTCCAGTTCGATATAGATTGTGAGGAAGCAACTGATTGTACGAAAAAACTAGCATTCTCACTCGGACTCACGTTTGGAAATGCTCGTAGTCAGTTGTCAAAGGTGGAAGAAACAACAGAGGAGGATGAAGAAGAAGAAGACGACAAAGAGGAGGAAGAGAATGACAGAGCTAATCTAGAGAAAATGCCGACGATTACCAAGCTTTCAATGTCTCTCAAAAGCACTCTTCTTGGTGAGAAGAGCCAGAAGTATCAGAAACACCCAGGAGCTAGAGTGGAGAGCGCATATGCATCATCTGCGCACAGGAGTGCAGACGAACAGATCCTGTCGAGCACAAGCTTCGTGAAGCTGTCGGATATGAGTGAAGAGGAATGGACGATTTTCCTGGAGAAATATCAAGAGCTGCTTTATCCGGCAATTGAAAAGCGCAAGTCGGTAACTTTAGGACAGAAGCAGAGGCAGAGGCTGGGGACTTCTTGTCAGTTTTGAGAAAACAGAAGAAGAAGAAGAAGAATAAAAGGATCGTGTAAAAGTCTTGTTTCTAAGGGCTTTGCTTAGACTGGATTGGTGGAAACACGTAAAGGCGAAGAGAGATGAGTGGAATGGATGTAGTGTAAATATTCGTTGGTTACTTTCAGCTTTTAGTGTGTAGGAGACTCGAGGGATGAAGAGAAATCAGTCATTTGTTTCTTTTGTCATTTTGTTTTAACTTCTTAAACTCATTTGTTATATAAATAATTTGTAGATGTGAAAAAAGAAAAGAAAAGTAGAGAGCTTCGTTTATCTCCCCACAGGCACATTTAGCTTCCCTGTTTCAATCCTTCATCAAATTGGTTTCTGACATTAGAATCTTGAATGGTGTTGGAAGATTTGGTTGCCAAGTAGAGCTAAAAAGCTTAAGTACATAGCAAATCTTGATCCTTTTGAAGATTGTGATGGTCAGTCATATTACATCAACATTTCTCTTCCCTACATGGATTTATATGTACACAAAAGAAGCAGACAGTAGCTATTCAGTACACAACATTGTTGATTCTTACTCTCGACTCTTTCTCCCGGAGCTGTTAATATTAGAAAGACAAGATCTGCTTCCTCCTCTGTTTGTTTTTCATTCTTCTGTTCAAAGTTAATAAAATTCTCGACCGCAGCTACAGCTGAGTACAAAGTGAAGAAGAACCATCTACGGCTCCACCTTCTTGTCGGCTGTAAGATGAGATAAACACGAAAGGTTTAGCGGTTTTTAAGTATCTGGTTACAACAGTAGGAAAGTATAGGGCTTTTACTTTCACCTGTTGCGTCTTCATGATCAGGTGCAGTGCCCGTTTCATGGTTCATGTGGACAACATTGTGGTGATCACTTTCGTATCCATGTGTTTCCTGTTCAAAACTCACTAACAAGATCAGATGAATGCAAGAGAAAGAAATGATTCTGCAAAGATATGTGTATTGTTGGAGTATAACGTGCAGGCAAATATATGTACCTGCCGTTTTAATCCCCCATTCAATAGCGACATTGAGGAACGGTTGGGTTCCATGAATCCTGTTTGAGAGAGATATGATAGAGGAGGATAAAGCATCGACATGTTTTGGGGAAATGTCGGTGCAGATGATTGAAGAGCCTGCATGAATAGAAGACATCAACATCATATGAATGAAGCTGCTCATCAAATGATAAGAAAGAGAAGTCGATTCTCTGACAGGTTTCAAGAACATCTTACATCTTTTGCAAGGAGGCTTTCGAGGTTAAAATCGAGCACAGGATTCACAGCTGAAAGTTTCATCGATAAAAACTGAAATACATGGAAGAAGTAACTAACACAAAGTGAGGTTGCTAATTAGATGATGTGTCAAGAACAGACACTGTGAAAATAGGAAGTTCCAAGAGGAAACAAAAGATAAACCTCGATCTGGCATTGAAGTGATTGCACATAGTTAATAATTTCGTCGAGCATAACTGCCTTCCCAGTCACCTAAACAACAAATGCAATGTCCCATTTATATGAAAAGAAACAGCTTTAGATTCCATTCTTCTACATGTATGTACACATCAACAGCTAAAAATAAATGAACTTACCTTGTCGCAACCCGGTACAAGATCTTGCAAGAACTTCATCCTTTCACTGATTTTTTCTCTCCTTACCTACAATAAGAAGTTTTAACCAAATCATATACCACACCTAAACAAGAACCGAAAAGATTTGCTTTCTATTCAACTTCAAAAAAATATAATCCCTACTCTTTCTGCAAGACTGTGACTATTTGTAGCCTGGCCTCTCCGTGCCCTCATGTGAATATACCCATCCTTTAAAGAATCAGAAGCTTGTTTCTCACTGTTTGTCTTGTTAACATTTGAATTTGAACTTTGCTCATCCTTCTGCATTTTATCTTCTTCTCCTTCACAATCCTACCAACAGAAACACTATCAATCAGCGTAAGACCGAAAAAACACAAAATACAAAAAAAGAGTAGTGCAAATCCCTCTACCTTCCCAATTCTTTTCCTCTTCTTACTGTTAAACCCCTTGGAAGACGTTACCCCACATTTAGCATCATCATGACCATTACATCCACTAGATTGAGAATCCTCTGATACATTAATCGATCTGTCTTTCACCAACTTAGATGCATCCTTAAGAGAACCATTATCTAGTTTGGATCCACTAGGAATCATTGTATCTTGAAGAAACAAGCCAGCTGATTCTGGAACTCCAAGAGATGATTGTTGTTGGTTCATCACCATTTCACTTAAACTCCCACATCCAAAAAAAGAAAACTTTGCAGCACGCTCTATGAATCCTGAATCTGCAGGGAACTGAGCCATGTTCCAACCTATTTCAAGAGGTCTATGATCAGTATTATTATTACCTCTAAAGGAAGTGCCTGCATCTGTGTGGACATTGAAACCACCATCGTTCCAAAGAGTTTCTCTGAATGAATCCATCATCTGAGAAGGACCCGACATTGGATTCTCCGGAGGATACAAATCCACAGGCGTATTGACCAAATCCTTCTTCTTTGCGGCAAACTCGTCCATGGCTTAAAATTAGTAAAGCCCCAGTTTTGATTACATGAAACTATCTTTCTACACAAGAACTGAGGAATTGAAGTGAACACACGAGCAAATCAGAGAAAGTTGAGAAAAAAGGAGTAGAATCAGTCAACGGAAGATAAAGGAGGATACTTTAAGTACGAACTCGATTCAGAGAAAGAGGTAAAGAAAACATTTGAGTCATGTTTTCAAAAGAGAATCATTATTCGTGGTGAAAGTGTCAGAATTTCAGATTCTGTGCCACTTTTTTTTCTATACAATTTTTCAAATATCTTTTTTTTTTCCTTAAAATTTTCTTACCAAAAAGCTTTATTGAACTGGGTTCTGTTTCTGCTGCAATAAAGAGAAAGGGTGTTGATGTCTTTTTTGAGATGGAAAGTTTAAAACGAGTTTAAGAAGAAAGGAAAAGAAGAAAAAAAGAAAAACGAAAGTTTCTGAATTTGTATACCCACGCTTGCATTAAAAACAGAGCTTATGATATGATCATTAAACATAAACATTAAACACAGCCATGATCCGAGCTTTTAAATTTTAGGGTGTTTTGAAAAATGGTCAAATGCAAAACTAACGATTTCATGCAAAATAAGCCTAATAGATCCGGCCGATGTAATTCTTTTGAGAAATTTGGCTAGTGTCATAAGGTAAAGGGTCCAATTTTTGGAATTCTAGAAGAGTATCTACATGCATGATGCATGCCAATCCAAAGATAGCACAACTCACGTAATGGTCGAGCTCCTATGAATCTATGATAGCAAAAGTATGTTTTATCACGATTTACCTGTAAAACCAATATCGAGCTTAAATTGATTTTCTTTTTTTTTTTACACCACTTAAATTGTTAAACAATTGTGCAAATGTACAGGAGGGAGTTGCTGGACGGTCCGGTGAGCACGAGGGCCGAGGACATAATTAGTTGGCCTTGGGACTCTCAATTGCCAAACACTTAAATAAAATATTTTAAGAATTGAATATTCAACCCTCACCTATTACTTTTATCATTTCTTCCTAGATTTTCTGTGTTTTAGGCCTTGTTTGAAATATCGCTAGGCGCTAGTCGGACGCTCGGCATAGGCCTAGCGATTAATCAGAAATCGGATTAAAATCGGGGATTAATCGAGGATTAGTTTTAGGGTTATTTTAATATTTTTAAAACATATTAATCCAATATTATTTTCAAAATTGCAGTAAACACATAAAAATGTATTTTTGATACAAATTTTTATGATTTTTATTACAAATTTTTTATTTTTATTAAAATTTGAACATAAATTATTGTAAAACATTACAAACTCTCAATTCAAATGATTGAATAACAAAAATAAAAAGTTTTTTTACACTAGCAATCTAAAAATAATCGGAGTATGTAAGATTAGGCGGGGAATAATCGGATTAGGCGGAAAGTAATCGGATTAGGCGGAGAGTAATCGGATGATTGATTTCTTTAAGGGATTAGTCATTAATCGAGGCGGATAGGATGGGCCTAGCGATTAAGCGGGGAGTAATCGGGTCTAGGCGGGGATTTTTAGAACAGGGGTTTTAGGTCGTGAATCTTAAAACTGGTGAGTCGTGGTGCCCGGTCCTGGAGACAAGCCCACCTAAGCAGTAGTTTTGGATTTGTAGTTCATTGGTAAAATTCCTATTTATGTTCTTTTTTTTGTTTTTAATTAACCTTGGGTTTTAGGGGTTTCTGATATAGCATTCTAGAAGCTTGGCTCACACGTGCGGAAGGAGTGAAGAAGCATGTGCGCAGTGATGAGCTGGCTTCAAAAGGCAACTTGCGTTTTAACGGCGTTGGATGTTGACAGCATAAACCGTTAAAACGTTGACGTGGTTACTTTTTAGTATAAGAGCAATTTGTTAGCTCACGCTTTCTTTATGCAAAGTTTCTGAACCTGTATTGTTCTAGAACTTTCTCTTCCTCATCGTTTTGCCGGAGCTTCTCATCGGAGTCTCTTGCAGGTGAGAAGTGTTACTGCGTTTTAGGAACGTTGTAACAGTTATCGTAATCGTTTAATAAAGAATACTCTGTTCTTACTCTGTTTACGGTTTCACTGGTACCAGAGCTAATCGTCCTCGGAAATCATGGTGACGGAGACGAGAGCTCGTAAGTTACAAGAGGATCAGGAGGCTGATGATGCATCGGAGTTGGTTCGCGGTGAGGATGACACCATCGGAGCATGATTGGAGCAAGTGATCAGTCGTACTCAAGCTCTTGAGCTGTCGATGGCGGAGCAGAATAAGAAAATGGGTCAAGACATTGCCGATATGTTTGACATGATTAAGATGATTCCTAAACATCAAGGATCATCAAGTGGAAAACAAAGTATGGGAAGAAATTACCAGGCAGTATCGGCGACGCTGGAAACCTGTGACGATGATACAGATCCATATGGGAGAAGTAAATTGGGGTTGCAATCGGGTTATGCAGGAATTACAAGGATGGGAAAGGTGTCCTTTCCTCGGTTTGACGGAGATCGTATACGTGATTGGTTGTTTCAGGTGGAGGAGTTTTTCTCTGTGGATCATACTCCACCGGAGTTGAAGGTTCAGCTAGCGGCGATACATTTCGATGGCCGTGCAGCCACGTGGCACAGGTCGTTAGTCTCAACACCAGGCAATCGACGTGTATTACGAGACTGGAATAATTATAAACTTGAGATTCTGGAGAGGTTTGAAGATGCGTTAGAGGATCCTGTAGCTGAGCTTAAACAGTTGCAAGAAACTAATGGTATTCTTGAGTATCATGAACGGTTTGAGCTTATCAAAAATAGGTTGGCCCTCTCAGAAGATTATTTAGTGAGTGCTTATTTGGCAGGGTTAAGACTGGATACACAAGTGCACATCAGAATGTTTAAGCCGCAGACGGTGAAGCAATGTTTGACTTTGGGAAAGTTATATGAAAAGGCTCATCCACAGCCTAAATCCAGTGCCAACACTTGGAACAGTGTGAGGAATTCGGGTAATAGTTCTTTGGGCAAAGGGTTTCAAGGAGTAAAGAAGGAGAGCTCTCCTCAACCAACACAGTCCAGTGATACAACTCATACTACTGTGGTCAGGCAACCTACCAGGAAATTGTTATCACAAGAGGAGATGAGTATGAGAAGAGCCAAGGGCTTATGTTTTCAATGTGATGAAAAGTATACGCCTGACCATTATCTAAAACACAAGAAAACACAAATTTATATGCTGGAAGTCGAAGAAGAATCCGATAATGAGGAAGCACCAGAGACTGAGAGTAATGAGAGTCAAATGGTGGTTAGTGGTGGCAATTGCAGACCTCAGGCTTCAGTCAGTACGGTTACTGGTACTCCAGGATATTCTACTATGAAAGTGCGTGGTGTTCATGCTAAGAGGGTGATCTTTGTGTTGTTGGATTCTGGCTCAACACACAATTTTATGGATCCACGTACTGCCGATTTGTTGGGAGTTAAGAGGAGTTCTGCAGGGTTTACTAGAGTATCAGTGGCTGATGGAAGTCAATTAAAGGTTCAAGGCAAGGTTGAGAAATTTCAATGGGGATTTCAGGGCACAAACTTTCAAGCTGACTTTATGATCATTCCTTTGGGAGGATGTGATGTGGTATTAAGAGTTCAGTGGCTTGCCACCTTGGGAGATATTACATGGAATTTAAAGAAGTTAGAAATGAGGTTTACATGGGGAAAACAGAAGGTGTTGTTACATGGTATCAAACAAGGCAGAGTAAGAGAAGTTAAAACTATCAAATTGAACAAATTAAAGGCTGAGGAAGCACAAATTTCAATGATATGTGCTCGTGTAGTGGAGGCGGATACAAGCGAAGAGCCAAATGCTGACTGGAGTATATGTAATTTGGAGGTGCAGGGAGGTGCTGAGGAAACTCCTGCAGCAATTACTCAACTTCAGAGTGCATTTGCAGACATTTTTGAAGAACCAACTGAATTACCACCATTCAGAACTAATCATAACCACAAGATTCCGGTGGCAGAGGGTTGTGATCCAGTCAACCAGAGGCCTTACCGCTATGCAGTGTATCAGAAGGATGAGATTGACAAAATGGTTGAGGAATTATTAAGTAAAGGGACTATACAACCCAGCTCTAGTCCATACGCAGCGCCTGTGGTATTGGTGAAAAAGAAAGATGGTACTTGGCGTCTTTGTGTGGATTATAGAGGTCTGAATGGTATGACTATAAAAGACAGGTTTCCTATTCCACTTATTGAGGATTTGATGGATGAATTGGGTGGTTCATGCATATTCTCCAAGATCGACTTACGTGCAGGATACCATCAAGTGCGTATGGATCCAAGGGACATTCACAAAACTGCTTTTAAGACACATAGTGGTCATTTTGAATATGTGGTCATGCCCTTTGGCCTCACCAACGCACCAGCCACGTTTCAGAAGTTGATGAATACAGTGTTTAAGGAATTCTTGAGGAAGTTTTTCCTTATATTTTTTGATGATATTTTGATATACAGCTCTTCTGAGAAGGATCATTTACAACATTTGGAACAAGTGTTCCTTACAATGCGGAATCATAAACTTTTTGCTAAGGGAAGTAAGTGTGCTTTTGCAACAGACAAGGTAGAGTATCTAGGCCATTATATATTTGCAGGAGGTGTTTCCACTGATCCAGCCAAGATCAAAGCTGTAGCAGAATGGCCTGTACCTGCAACTCTGAAGCAACTCCGGGGTTTTTTGGGCTTGGCAGGGTACTATCATTGCTTTGTGAAGAATTTTGGTACCATAGCTCGTCCTTTAACAGCCTTGACCAAGAAAGAATCCTTTAGTTGGTCAGAAGAAGCACTTGAAGCATTTATGCAATTGAAATCGGCTTTATGTGAAGCACCAGTCTTAGCTCTGCCTCTCTTTGATCAACCATTTCTAGTGGAGACTGATGCTTGTCGCCAGGGCATAGGGGCGGTGTTGATGCAAAATGGTCATCCCCTAGCTTATATCAGCCGTCACTTGAAGGGAAAGCAATTGAACTTGTCTATATATGAAAAGGAACTGTTGGCAGTGGTGTTTGCAGTCCAGAAGTGGCGCCACTACCTCCTTCCCAACCATTTCATTATCAAGATAGACCAACGCAGCCTGAAGTACTTATTGGAGCAAAGGCTGAACACACCAATTCAGCAGCAATGGTTACCTAAGCTACTGGAGTTTGACTATGAGATTCAATACAGACAAGGTAAAGATAATGTGGCTGTCACGTGTAGAGGGAGCTGAAGTTTTACACATGGCAATGTCAGTACTAGAATGTGATTTGCTCAAAGACATTCAGGCTCATTATACAACAGACTCAGAATTGCAACAAGTGATCAACACTCTGGAAAAGGATCCTACAGCTAAGAAACATTATTCATGTGTGCAAGCTATACTTAGGAGAAAAAGTAAGATTGTGGTCCCTAATGATCTCAAGCTGCGGAATACTATTCTCCAGTGGATGCACTGCTCTGGTAGTGGGGGTCACTCAGGCAGGGACGCAACACATCAAAGAGTTAAGGGTCTCTTTTACTGGAAGGGTATGTCAGTGGATATACAGAAGTATATCCGGAGCTGTCAAGTCTGTCAAACTTGCAAATATGACACTTCTGCTTCTCCAGGACTGCTCCAGCCTTTACCAATCCTAGAACCAATTTGGACTGACATCTCCATGGATTTTATTGATGGCCTCCCACCATCGGAGGGAAAGACAGTTATTTTGGTGGT